AATTTTCATACGATACACTTAACAAAAAAAAGGAAGAACCTATATGAGATAAGATGAATTAATTATATTTTTATATTAATCTGTTTTTGTAAATCTGAAAACCTACTAAATGTTATTTACTTTTATGTATTATAATGAAATAACATTTTGTATAAAAATGCTCATTGATAAATTTATATGTATTGAAATAAATAAAAACAAATGTTCCTCTTAACATTGCTCGGAGTATATGAAAATAAGTAATATATTAAACCAATGAAAATTTAAAGAATTAATTTAAACAATTTTATACAATAGTACGTGCCAACTGGTTTTTCCTTTTTAGTGCCTCAAAACTACAGAATCCTGTTTTAAATACATTTCATTGTAGAGAAAACTGCGAATTCTATTTCATTTTTGGATTCCTTAAAGGTAACAAGAAAGATTTTAGATAAATATTTTAACTAAAATTAATCATAAATGTAGGTAAATAGAAGAAGGGTCATTAATGTTAGTATTACGTTCTTCAGTTTCTAGTTCAAAGTTCAATAAAGAATATAAAGTATAACTTTATGTATTTGCCAGTGGCGAAGGGTGAAATTTTAGCAGACGTAAGCCATTCCAAAAATGTACAATTTTTTTTATATACGTACTAGCATTGCCCGCGGCTCCGCCCGCAAAAACCAAAGTCTTAGGTTTTACATATTAGTATACTTACATTGCAGTTTTTGTATTTTTTTCTCAGAAATGCGATATTTTCCCACAGTAAAAAGTACTCTATAAGTTGACCCGGATAACCAGCTATCACCATACCAAATTTCATCACAATTCCTCCAGTGGTTTTTCTGTGATGCGGTAACAGACATACAAACAAAAATTCTAAAAACTATAGATTCGGCTTCTGTATCGATAATAATGTTTATTTAAATAAGATTTTCCAAAAAATATTTAATGTACTGATTCGGCTTAGTTACAATTTTATTATATGTATAGATTAATGCACTATTATTATATACACATTTCCAAAAGAACATTTATACATTTCAAAAATTAAATGTATGTAAAATTATAGCAAAATTAATTTAAGGGAAGACGTCTTGTATGCAGCCACTTGTATGTATAGATTATAATTTATTTTGTATATACATACTTATTATAATTGATGAGACTAAAATATATGAATTATGGTAGTTTAAACTGTATTTATTTTTGGATTTATTCAATTGGTTCAAATTAACCTCAAATGAACTCGTAATATTGTAAAATTATTTGCAGACCACAAGAATTTAATTTTCAATAAAAAAATATTCGTTTTAAATAAAACTATCTTTTCGGATTATTTCGCGGATTTATTTTGATATTTCGTTCCCGATGTTTCGAATGCTTTACAGCAATCATGGTCACGGGAGAGATTCTCTCCCGAATACTCCGAAAAGATAGTTTTATTTAAAATATCCAATATTCGCGTAAATCTAAGAAATTATTATAAAAAAATATCCATTACAGTACTTGATCTAACATACATGGAAAATATTTATGAAGCTGTACAATATTTAATTGTTAAATTAACTTTAATTATTTTCTCCGCTAAATTCTGCCGCGCGGGGCCATTGGAAACAATACCTTTTTTTTGTTTTCTTTACACAATCGGGCAGTATCCTATACATGTCTATTGATAAAGTCCTAAACAGTCTATTGATAAGGTCCGAACTAAAATGTTGTTGAAACATTAAACTAGAGCGTTTATCTCCTGGGAATTATTTATTCATTATATCATATTATTAGCTACTTACCTCCGTTTTCTTTGCGTGCATTTCTAGATATACTACGTATCTTCTTTCAGTATTACGGATCTAATTTTAGTGTCCTATGTATTACTTCAGGTCATACTCCATCGGTAAACTAAACTTCATCCAAATCCGTTTAGCCATTTCAGTGTGAAGAAGTAACAGACATACTTAAGTACATACAAGCTTTCGCAATTAAAGAAGTAGTACGGTAATTGGTACCCTAACTTTTCGTTAAGGGCATAGTATATAGATGTGTCAAGAATTATCATTTCCTTTGTACAAGTGTAATTAAGTAAAAAAATTCAGAAATCAATTACCTTCAATTACCTATTACTTTCAGTTATCTACGTATATAAACTATTACCTCTGTATACATACGTATAATAAAATTGTAACTAAGCCGAATCTGTACATTAGATATTTTTTGGAAAATCTTATTGAAATAAACTTTTTATCGATACAGAGGCCGAACCTATGGTTTTTAGAATTTTTGTCTGTATGTCTGTCTGTCTGTTTGTTATCGCATCACACAAAAACCACTTGGGGGGATTTTGATGAAATTTGGTATGGTGATAGCTGGTTATCCGAGTCAACGTATAGGATATAATACAATCCAAAAAATATTTATGATCAGAATTACTTCAAACTTAATATTAAAGCTCTTCAATACAATAAAATAAATACTTGTTTTAGCATTTTTCAAAATTCATCCCATAAGGAGGTAAAATAGGGGATGAAAGTTTGTATGAAACCTACTTTTTTCGAGTTTTTTTGTAGTTTTAGCGCGAGCGAAGCCGCGGGTACTGCTAGTTATAAATAAATATGTTGGGACATTAGCACACAGCGCTATCTAGTTCCATAGTAAGTTACGAGGCTTATGTTATGGATACCAGATAGGTGATACACTAGACATATATAACTTTAAATACATACATATTATAAATATAAACACCCCGACTGGAGTACTAACATTCGTGCTGATCACATAAATGATGAAATTTGGTAGTTCATTCATTCAATTCAAATTTGATAAATGAATGCCCCCAGCGGGACTCGAATCCGTGACCGCTGGCACAGCAAGTAGGGTCACTACAAACTGAGCCAAGTGCGTCGACAAATTATAATAGCATAAAATTAAAATGTTGTTATTAGTCAAATTATTTTTATTATTTTTATATATAAATCGTGTTATCCATATTCTACGAACATCATCTTTAGTGGTTGTTAATTTTGTGGACGTTATCAAACAATAAAGTATTCAATACTCAATACATAATTTAATCAGGGAAATCACAATGTTATAAACTTGAAATGGTAATTCTAATAATTTAGAGCTAGCGGGCTTATAGCTTCCAATCAGACTTTCACGTTCAATAACAAAGCAATACTCTCTGTGGTCTACCACGATCAACCAACGTTACGAAGACACGTATCTCCAATGAATGACATGATGGCGTCTTTACGCCGCTCAAGACTAAATATCTACATTAAAAGCAATAAAAATTAAACTAAATAACAGTGACTTTTAACAATAACTAGCGGCTCACCCTCGCTTCGCTCGGGTTCGCCTCTAGAATAACACTAATAGAAATCTATTAGTTCCCACGGGAACCGTTCATTTTTCCCGGATGAAAAGTAACCTGTTGTTTGACCGGCAATATAAGGTATCAGAATGTTAGATTTTACTAAATTAGGTGCATAAATTGTATAAGCTATAATAGTTTTTTAACTATCCCATGGGAACCATTTAATTTATCGGGATAAAAAATATCTAAGACGTTGTCCGGGGATATAAGGTACCACCATGCAAAATTTCATTTAAATCGGTCCAATAAATTCCGAGATTAGCCCGTACAAACAGACAAACAGACAGAGAAACAAAAAAAATTGAAAAAAATCTGGATTTGTTCTATTTGTCTCCTTACATCCACCTGACTCGCGATGGCTTATTATTAGCGTATTTCATGTATAACTTTGGTGTTTCTATACCGATTTCTATGATTCTTTTTTATGGAATAGTTTGTAATGTTAACTTTTTTAATTAGGGATGACTGAGAGTGTTATAAACGTAAGACTAGATAAATATAAATCAGAAAGCTTCGAACTGCTAAGCTATCGGGAGTTACACGTGTTATTGTGAGTCAACTATAAAAGATAGACATATGCTATCGTGGGATATTTTTTATATAATTTTAAGGAAAACATTTCCGTCATACATAATTTTTGTATAGCTTTAACCATTAAGGTTGCACACGCGACGGAAGCTTGAAAAATGGAGTAACTTCTCCCGTTTTCCCAACATTTCCCTTCACTGCTCTGCTCCTATTGATTGTAGCGTGATGAAAAGTATACTTTAACCAGCTCAGGAGTATGAAAAATAATTGTACCAAGTTTCGTTAAAATCCGTCGAGTAGTTTTTGTTTCTATAACGGTTATACAGACAGACAGACAGACAGACAGACAGACAGACAGACAGACAGACAGACAGACAGACAGACAGACAGACAGACAGACAGACAGACAGACAGACAGATAGACAGACAGACAAAAACTTTACTGATAGCATTTTTGGCATCAGTATCGATCCCTAATCACCCCTAGATAGTTATTTTGGAAATATATTTCATGTACAGAATTGACCTCTCTACAGATTTATTATAAGTATAGATAAGGTTTTATAGCAGAAAAAGGTAACTAAATTCTCCTCCATCATATATAATAATTTTATAATACTAAACTTACCCTCTTTTCTTTCTTAAAATAATAAAATTTGTCTTTACGTTTGTTTGTCTGCTTGTTGCGGCTATCTCCGAAACGGCTGAACCGATTATGACGGGACTTTTACTGGAAGATAGCTGATGTTATAAGGAGTAACTTATGCTACTTTTATTTAAGAAAAGAATTTTAATTCCGCACAAGAAAATTAAAACCTATAAAATTGCAAGCAAAATCATACCCGAGCACCCGAGCGAATCGGGGCGAGTCACTAGTATTTTAACAAAACTTGCATTTATAGTATAAGAAAAGAGGGTTGTTTTTCTAATTTCATGAAGGTTGAGGTGCGCCACAACTGGTACATAGTAACCGGACTCGTCTCATCGCGAATTTGCCATTTGACATTACCTACGACAGATTGTCCTAATCGAAAGAAGTGTATAAAAGAATACGCTTCGAACGCACGACATCAGTTGCTCTTTTGACATCAACGAAGTCTATCCTAATCAATCCACCATGAAAGTGGTTAGTTAAATATAAGCACTGTGTTATTTCTTGTATAATAATAATGGTTTAATTTTTAATTGCAATGATGTTTTTAATCTCAGATCATTGCCGCCCTCGCCCTCGTGGCCATCGCCGCCGCCGCCCCTACAGAGTACAAGCCACAACCACAGATTCTCAAGTCGGTATTTGAGCATAAACCTGACGGAGGATACAATTTCAGGTGAGATTTAACCCTTTTTTGTCTGCTGTAAACGCACTTACACTGAACAACTAATTTACAAAACGCTATGTCAAATGTGTTTAAAAGTTCTTAAATTTACGCGAATATTTTGAATAAAACTATAATATTATATGTAAAATTAAAGCAGTTCGGGAAACGAAGTTTCAGATTTTCTTGTTACTTCTATTTCGAAATTAGCAAAATTAAATATACTGATATATAGTAAATAGATTTATTGCCTATCTTCAGCTTTATACGCATTCTTTTTTTTACTCGCAGTATTTTGAATATAGCAGCTACTTTGTATTGAACCGAAAACGATCACAATTATACAATTCAAAAATTTAATTACAGAAAGTGTCATAACTATCTATCCTAACTAAAAAATGCAAACGTGTAATAACGTCAAATGTTCGCGAGAATCCAAAAAAGTATCAAAAGATAATATTATGAATAAGTAAATGTAATTTACAGTTTCGAATCTGAAGACGGAACTTCACGCCAGGAGGAAGGTACAGTCGTGGAACGCCTGGATGAGGAGAACAATCTCGTTCCAGTCCTTATAGTTCGCGGATATTACAGCTATGTCAACGGCGAAGGCAAACTAGAGACCATCACCTACGAAGGTGATGAGAAAGGCTTCCACCCTCTTGGTGACTCCATCCCTAAGCAAACTTCCAGGAGATAAACACCCATTTGCTGACTATCAATCAAACTGGCATTGTCTTAAGGTTATATAATGTGATAAAGTTAAATATTAGCCTAAACGAGTAAATGTTAAGTGTAGTAAAAACTTACAATTAACTTATAGTCTAATAAAGTAATCTCTAGTTGATACTCTGTACCATGTTTTGTACATTTTGTAATTAATAGTTATTACGTTTAGGTATGCCGAATAAAATTTACTCAATCAAAAACTGTTGTTTTGTACATTTTATAAATATCAGTGAATAAGTACTATTGTAGGAGGAGGGAGTAAAAGGAATTTCAAAATCTATTTACAACATTTATAAATAAATGACGGGTGAAAAAATTAAAATATCATACTAGTACCCTTTACTGAAATAAATTATTTTATTCGATATTCTATATATGTATGTGATAAAATAGAATGAAAATGGAAAAGATTTCTCGTAATGAGGGCGCCACACGTATCGCCTATTTACATTCAGTCTGAGATAAATGTGAAAATGGGAGCCAAGTTCAATATTAAGAATACGCGTGGTTGTCTACTTCACCGACAAAAGAATTGAGATCTAAATGGGTGTCAAGTTCTGTAGATAATCCTGAATTTTTTTCATAAGAACATAAAACATTCTAAAATAAATTTGAAATACAATTTCTTATTTTTGTGCTTCAAAATTGTTTGCTATTTAAAAATAGAACTTCTTAAAGGAGAAACTCATTTTAGGGCCCTATTGAATTACTATCAAATATATATCAATCATCAATCAAATTAATTTTTTTGCTTATCCCAGTAAAATCTTAATTTTATTGGTAATGGCCAAGTAAAGAAAAAATGGAATTTACGATATTGCATAAAACTAACGTCTTAATTCCCGTATTTATTTCATAAAACGTCAATTTTTGTGTCTATAGTGTTATAAACGTATTCCAAGTCATTTGTCAATCATAGCTTCATGTGCTTACTTGGTCGTATATTTTTGTAGTATTTAAGCACAATTACATTTTAAGAAACAAAATTAAAAACAAACCGAACACCTAAAATCGGATTTATTTTTTAACGTAGACTACAAAATATTAAGTTAAACTACAAAACTATTATTTACTCCTAAAATAATAAAGACCTCTTTCGTCAACAAATGTCAATATACAAATATGTCATTCGCTTTTCGTAGTAGTTGGTACGGAAATGAGTGTGTTTTAACCGTTTTTTCGGTTTTTTTTTTATATCTCTGAACGCATCCCAGGTACTGATATTGATTGCTTTCTGACTGCCTATTGCGTGGATATTGGACATTGCATCTACTACCCTTGTTCTGTATCTTGCCTTAATGATGACTGAATATCGATATCAGAAACCTAAATAGTAATTAAGGAATATCAACGAACCGCTCTAATATAATAAGGATATACAAAAGTAAGTAGAAGATGAACAAATACTTTAAACCGTAAGGCAATGGATTGCGCCTCAAACTGTCAGCTTTGGTTTATTTTGTGCTGTTATTTAAGTATAGTAAACTGATAATGATGAGTAACAAAATAAATTGTAACATCTAAGCATCTTTTCAACCGACTTCAAAAAGGAGGAGGTTCTCAATTCGACTGTATGTTTTTTTATTTTTTTTTATGTTTGTTACCTCAGAACTCCGTCATTTATTAACCGATTTGGACAATTTTTGTGATGTTTGAAAGGGTATACTTCCAGATTGGTCCCATTTAAATTAAAAAAAAATACCACCCCTAAGGGTGGAAAAACAGCTAATGATGAATTTAACCTACTTCTGATTGTCATATTAACTTTAAATTTGCAAGTGTTTCTATTATTAGTATTTCGGTGCGCCGTTCTCCCTACCTTCCGCGGCCTAGACGGGGCCGCCACTGTTTAATGGCGGACGCGGTGGGGCTGCAGGGGAAGCGGAGTGTCGGTGTTTCGTTGCCGCTCTCCCTGTCCTCTGCAGCCGATTGGAGGTGGCCGACTTCGGTGGGCGGTGTTTCGGTTTTATGGGGCTGCTCCGGGTACCTCTCTGACGTAGCAGAGTTGACTGTGGAGCAGCCCCATTGGTTTGGTGGTCTGCCTAGTATTTAGGCAGACCTGCCGCCGGGGCGCCGTAGTAGTTATGCGCAAGCGATCCTGCGGCGTCCCACTAAGGCGGGGGGAAGGGATGTCGGGTTTTTGTGGGTAGTACCGGCTCTTCTAGCCGGTGAGCCCCACATCACCACCTGGGGGATCAGGTGGTATGCGTAAATGCATTTCCCGACGATAAAAAAAAAAAAAAAAAAGGATAAATTGAAGTTCAAGATTTGCCTTGGCTAGTTTTTACTAGTAAAGCAAGTTTATAGAAAAGTGAGATATATTGATCTTACAATATAAAAACAGTAACTTGCGTATAGAATAAAGAATATATAAGTGATTAGCCGAATATAAGATAACTTGTACGTAAAATCTATAAACAGATTTGTTTAAAAAATACTTTTTTTCATATTTTACGTGAAATTAAAAAAAAAATGTAGTTTGAAACTTGATTGAGTAATAGAGAAATTGGTTATGTATGGAAACAATTTATATATTTTAATAAGTTATACAATCCCATATATCATTTTTAAGGAGAGCCTCACACGCGTTGAAATCTATTATAATAATTAGTAATTATCGCACCGCGCCACCTAAACTTATGCCGTATATATTTGAAAATGTATAGTTGAATCTAGTTGTTAACCTGATAATATTATAAACTTAATTTTTTATGTATGGACGTACGTTTGTTACTCTTTGACGCATAAACTACTCAAAGGATTTTCATGAAACAATAGTATTATAGCTAATACATCAGAATAACACAAAGGCTTTAATTTGTAAAAAGTATAAATACATAATTGAACTACGGCGGCGGAGCCGCGGGAAAACGCTGGTATATTATGATTTTGTTACAATCCATGGGTAAAAGTTAATTATGCTGGCAAGTATGAAAGATTAACTTTAGCACACGGCTTCACTCGTATAATATACGCATGAAATCTATAAAAGAAACCAATGCCGTTATTGCCCTAAAAGAGGATTACCAGCGCCAGTGAAAGCACCTTTATAATTAATTCAACCGTTTTAATGATTAGCGGATCTATCTATGTAGATAGACATTTTACAAATTGGTTGTTTCTGCCATGATACGAGTGTATTTAAATATAGACTAACTTTAATATGGACTTAATTATTATGTACGAAATATCTTTTATTGAATACATAATAATAAAGTTTAATCAAAATAAACAAATGATACTATTATTATTATTAAAATACTAAGTGAATTTAAACTTATTGCAAAGGTTGTCCAAAATTTGCTTGTTATTTTAACAAAATAGTAATAATTGGAATTTTACATTGTACGTTTTAAATATTATTTAAGTATGTATTGTAATTTTATAAATGATATTGATATTATAATTGAGTTTTACATTACGATGTAAATAAAATGGTATTTCAGTGAGTTTTGAAACATATACAAAATTTCATAGTTAACTTGTTAAATCTTATAGGATTTATTTGATGATATCACTTACTTATTATTTCTTACTAGGTATTTTTAATTAAATAAAGGTACTCATTAGCCATCCTTACTTTTTCTGCCTACATACTTTATCTCTGGTGACCTTTTAATTTTATGTTTTTTTTTATTTTTATATAGATATTTCAAGTTAATGTTTCAAATATTTTAATTATATTAATACCTACCCTTGCCTTCCTAAAGATTCAGACGTATTTGTTATATTAATTTATCGCAAAATGTTCATAAATTATAGTCTATAATTTTCCTACACACCTACCTACTATCTCTTTCTATTATTCAAAACCGTATGAAAATACCTTCAGTAGTTTCTGAATTTAGCCGAAACAAACACAAACTGCACAGCGTCTGTCTTTAATACTTAATTTATAATATGTAATTATTTAATTTTTTTTGTCATAGGTTATGGAACTTTAGATCGGGTGCTCTACGGACGCGCACCCGATACTATCCGAGTCCAACTGAGCCGATATTATTACATTGTGTATTCGTATTTGCATTCGCATAAAATTATAATTGATTATCACAATCGAAAAAAAATGTATAAAAGAATGCGTTTCGAACGCTACGACATCAGTCGCTCTTTCGGTAACAACGACATCATACCTAATCAATCACCATGAAAATTGTTAGTCAAATTTAGGATTGTTTTATTTAATGTATAAAATAAAATATATTTAATTTAATTTTTAATGGATGTTACTTTTATTTCTAGATCATTGCCGCCCTCGCCCTTTTGGCCCTCGCCGCCGCCTTTCCTCTAGAGAATAAGGAACCAACAAAGATCCTCCGCTCAGAACACGAGCAAAGACCCGAAGGGCAATACAACTTCAAGTAAGATTTTATTATTACGAATGTATTTTAGTACACATTATTATTAATCCTCTATGGCTTTCGTTGTGGTAGACTGTTTGAAAGCTATCTAAAATACACATTAATGCACAATTTTGTCATGAACTATATTTCCTTATTTTATATATATATATATATAATATCTATTTATATATATATATATATATATATATATATATATATATATATATATATATATATATAATAAATTGATATTATTAATAATACATATTTCATAAGTGCATAAAATTAATTTGTGCGGGATTGATATATTCTGGTAAGACAGTATTATAATACTAGTAAATGTATTTTACAGTTTCGAAACTGACGATGGAACTTCACGCCAGGAGCAAGGTTCAATCAAGGAAGTCCTAGATGAGAAGAAGGTACCCCAAAATGTCGTTGTCGTTCGCGGATTTTACACCTATGTCAGCGAAGGCAAACCAATTACCGTCGAATACGAAGCTGATGAGAACGGTTACCGTGCTTTTAGTGATGCCATCCCTAAACAAGCTCCATCCAGGAGATAAGCATTCGCATACTAACTCTTGATTTCTAACTCGCGTTGTCATACGGTTTCATACAATGTGATAAAATTAAATATTTGCCTGATGGAGATAATGGTCTGATAATTACTCGATAGTCAAATTAAGGTAATTTCCAGTTCATACTCTGTGCCATATTTTGTACATTTTATAATTACTTGTTGATATGATTTAGTATTTCCGTATCGAATAAAGTTTACTTAATTTTAAGCTGTCGTTTCTTTTCCTTTAATTTTCATACGATACACTTAACAAAAAAAAGGAAGAACCTATATGAGATAAGATGAATTAATTATATTTTTATATTAATCTGTTTTTGTAAATCTGAAAACCTACTAAATGTTATTTACTTTTATGTATTATAATGAAATAACATTTTGTATAAAAATGCTCATTGATAAATTTATATGTATTGAAATAAATAAAAACAAATGTTCCTCTTAACATTGCTCGGAGTATATGAAAATAAGTAATATATTAAACCAATGAAAATTTAAAGAATTAATTTAAACAATTTTATACAATAGTACGTGCCAACTGGTTTTTCCTTTTTAGTGCCTCAAAACTACAGAATCCTGTTTTAAATACATTTCATTGTAGAGAAAACTGCGAATTCTATTTCATTTTTGGATTCCTTAAAGGTAACAAGAAAGATTTTAGATAAATATTTTAACTAAAATTAATCATAAATGTAGGTAAATAGAAGAAGGGTCATTAATGTTAGTATTACGTTCTTCAGTTTCTAGTTCAAAGTTCAATAAAGAATATAAAGTATAACTTTATGTATTTGCCAGTGGCGAAGGGTGAAATTTTAGCAGACGTAAGCCATTCCAAAAATGTACAATTTTTTTTATATACGTACTAGCATTGCCCGCGGCTCCGCCCGCAAAAACCAAAGTCTTAGGTTTTACATATTAGTATACTTACATTGCAGTTTTTGTATTTTTTCTCAGAAATGCGATATTTTCCCGCAGTAAAAAGTACCCTATAAGTTGACGCGGATAACCAGCTATAACCATCCAAATTTCATCACAATTCCTCCAGTGGTTTTTCTGGGATGCGGTAACAGACAAACAAAAATTCTAAAAACTATAGATTCGGCTTCTGTATCGATAATAATGTTTATTTAAATAAGATTTTCCAAAAAATATTTAATGTACTGATTCGGCTTAGTTACAATTTTATTATATGTATAGATTAATGCACTATTATTATATACACATTTCCAAAAGAACATTTATACATTTCAAAAATTAAATGTATGTAAAACTATAGCAAAATTAATTTAAGGGAAGACGTCTTGTATGCAGCCACTTGTATGTATAGATTCTAATTTATTTTGTATATACATACTTATTATAATTGATGAGACTAAAATATATGAATTATGGTAGTTTAAACTGTATTTATTTTTGGATTTATTCAATTGGTTCAAATTAACCTCAAATGAACTCGTAATATTGTAAAATTATTTGCAGACCACAAGAATTTAATTTTCAATAAAAAAATATTCGTTTTAAATAAAACTATCTTTTCGGATTATTTCGCGGATTTATTTTGATATTTGGTTCCCGACGTTTCGAATGCTTTACAGCAATCATGGTCACGGGAGAGATTCTCTCCCGAATACTCCGAAAAGATAGTTTTATTTAAAATATCCAATATTCGCGTAAATCTAAGAAATTATTATAAAAAAATATCCATTACAGTTATTGATCTAACATACATGGAAAATATTTATGAAGCTGTACAATATTTAATTGTAAAATTAACTTTAGTTATTTTCTCCGCTAAGTTCTGCCCCGCGGTGCCATTGGAAACAATACCTTTTTTTTCTTTTCTTTACACAATCGGGCAGTATCCTATACATGTCTATTGATAAGGTCCGAACTAAAATGTTGTTGAAATAACATTAAACTAGAGCGTTTATCTCCTGGGAATTATTTATTCATTATATCATATTATTAGCTACTTACCTCCGTTTTCTTTGCGTGCATTTCTAGATATACTACGTATCTTCTTTCAGTATTACGGATCTAATTTTAGTGGCCTATGTATTACTTCAGGTCATACTCCATCGATAAACTAAACATCATCCAAATCCGTTTAGCCATTTCAGTGTGAAGAAGTAACAGACATACTTAAGTACATACAAGCTTTCGCAATTAAAGAAGTAGTACGGTAATTGGTACCCTAATTTTTCGTTAAGGGTATAGTATATAGATGTGTCAAGAATTATCATTTCCTTTGTACAAGTGTAATTAAGTAAAAAACATTCAGAAATCAATTACCTTCAATTACCTATTACTTTCAGTTATCTACGTATATAAACTATTACCTCTGTATACATCTTTATATATATAATTCTTCTGTGAGTGTGTATGTCACTGAACTTCTCTCAAACGACTGGACCGATTTTGATGAAATTTTTTGTGTGTGTTCAAGGGGATCTGGGAGTAGTTTAGATTCACAATTTGAATAATAATTTTCATCAAAAAAAATATTAAAAATGTTTGAAATTTTCAAATTAAAGACGTGTAGACAGGACAACGTCTGTCGGGTCCGCTAGTACGTATAATAAAATTGTAACTAAGCCGAATCTGTACATTAGATATTTTTTGGAAAATCTTATTAAAATAAACTTTTTATCGATACAGAGGCCGAACCTATGGTTTTTAGAATTTTTGTCTGTATGTCTGTCTGTCTGTTTGTTACCGCATCACACAAAAACCACTTGGAGGGATTTTGATGAAATTTGGTATGGTGATAGCTGGTTATCAACTTCAACATATAGGGTACTTTGTACTATGGGAAAATATCTCATTTCTGAGAGAAAATACAAAAACTGCAATGTAAGAAAATACTAATATGTAAAACCTAAGAATTTGGTTTTTGGTCATCTGAACGCGGGCGGAGCCGCGGGCAATGCTAGTACGTATATAAACTTTTACGTCTGTAATAATTAGTAGAATATAGCATTTCTGAATTAATCCATACTAATATATAAATGCGAAAGTAACTCTGTCTGTCTTCCTGTCAGTTAGCTTTTCACGCTGAACTGATGATCTAGACGAAATTTGGTATGAAGATAGTTTGAAACCCTAGGAAGGACATAGAGTAGTTTTTACCAACCTTTAAAGGGGTGAAAAGGGGGGTTGAACTTAGTATGGGGAATCAATCATTTCTCAAGTAAGGGTAATAAAAATAAAACTCATCATACCTAGATACTAGACTATATAGTATATGTATTCCATACTAATCGTTATAAGTTATCTAAGGACGAACCCGAGCGATGCGGGGTTGAGTCGCTAGTTCTTAATATGTCACAATTAATAGATCATATTTTTAAAGATATCATGAGAAGTAAGTTCGGTACTACAATTTCTCGCTATGTAACAGGTATAGATAATTCTGTGGTTATTATTTAACTTTCAGAAAAACTTTGTTTGTCCTTCCTTCACGTCAAAACAAAGTGACGGATTAGCATGATTTTTTTGTGTGGAGATAGTTGGAAGGCTGAGAGTACTTTTTACCGCGGGAGATTATCTAATTCCCACACAATAAAATAAACAACACGTTATAATACAATCCAAAAAATATTTATAATCAGAATTACTTCAAACTTAATATTAATGCTCTTCAATACAATAAAATAAATACTTGTTTTAGAATTTTTCAAAATTCATCCCATAAGGAGGTAAAATAGGTGATGAAAGTTTGTATGAAACCTACTTTTTTCGAGTTTGTTTGTAGTTTTAGCGCGAGCGAAGCCGCGGGTACTGCTAGTTATAAATAAATATGTTGGGACATTAGCACACAGCGCTATTTAGTTCCATAGTAAGTTACGAGGCTTATGTTATGGATACCAGATAGGTGATTCACTAGACATATATAACTTTAAATACATACATATTATAACTATAAACACCCCGACTGGAGTACTAACATTCGTGCTGATCACATAAATGAATGCCCCCAGCGGGACTCAAACCCGCGACCGCTGTGTACCAGCGGTAAGTAGGGTCACTACAAACTGGGCCAAGTGCGTCGACGAATTATAATAGCATAAAATTAAAATGTTGTTTTTAGTCAAATTATTTTTATTATTTTTATATATAAATCGTGTTATCCATATTCTACGAACATCATCTTTAGTGGTTGTTAATTTGGTGGACGTTATCAAACAATAAAGTATTCAATACTCAATACACAATTTAATCATGGAAATCACAATGTTATAAACTTGAAATGGTAATTCTAATAATTTAGAGCTAGCGGGCTTATAGACTTTAACAATAATAAGGTTTTATAGCAGAAAAAGGTAACTAAATTCTGCTCCGTCATATATATTAATTTTATAATACTAAACTTACCCTCTTTTCTTTCTTAAAATATTAAAATTGTCTTTATGTCTGTTTGTCTGCTTGTTGCGGCTATCTCCGAAACGGCTGAACCGATTTTGACGGGACTTTTACTGGAAGATAGCTGATGTTATAAGGAGTAACTTATATTACTTTTATTTAAGAAAAGAATTTGAATTCCGCACATGAAAATTAAAACCTACAAAATTGCAACCAAAATCATACCCGAGCACCCGAGCGAATCGGGGCGAGTCAATAGTGTTTTAACAAAACTTGCATTCATAGTATAAGAAAAGAGGGTTGTTTTTCTAATTTCATGAAGATTGAGGTGCGCCACAACTGGTACATAGTAACCGGACTCGTCTCATCGCGAATTTGCCATTTGACATTACCTACGACAGATTGTCCCAATCGAAAGAAGTGTATAAAAGAATACGCTTCGAAAGCTCGACATCAGTTGCTCTTTTGACATCAACGAAGTCTATCCTAATCAATCCACCATGAAAGTGGTTAGTTAAATATAAGCACTGTGATATTTCTTGTATAATAATAATAATATATAATAATCTGGCTTAATTTTTAATTGCAATGATGTTTTCAATCTCAGATCATTGTCGCCCTCGCCCTCGTGGCCATCGCCGCCGCCGCCCCTACAGAGTACAAGCAACCACCACAGATTCTCAAGTCGGTATTTGAGCATAAACCTGACGGAGGATACAATTTCAGGTGAGATTTAACCCTTTTTTGTCTGCTGTAAACGCACTTACACTGAACAACTAATTTAAAAAACGCTATGTCAAATGTGTTTAAAGGTTCTTAGATTTACACGAATATTTTGAATAAAACTATAATATAATATGTAGAATTGAAGCAGTTCGGGAAACGAAGTTTCAGATTTTTTTGTTACTTCTATTTCAAAATTAGCAAAATTAAATATCAGTGTAAATAGATTTGTTGCCAATCTTCAGCTTTATACACATTCTTTTTTTAACTCGCAGTATTTTGAATATAGCAGCTACTTTGTATTGAACCGAAAACGATCACAATTATACAATTCAAAAATTTAATTACAGAAAGTGTCATAACTATCTATCCTAACTAAAAAATGCAAACGTGTAATAACGTCAAATGTTCTCGAGAATCCAAAAAAGTATCAAAAGATAATATTATGAATAAGTAAATGTAATTTACAGTTTCGAATCTGAAGACGGAACTTCACGCCAGGAGGAAGGTACAGTTGTGGAACGCCTGGATGAGGAGAACAATCTCGTTCCAGTCCTTATAGTTCGCGGATATTACAGCTATGTCAACGGCGAAGGCAAACTAGAGACCATCACCTACGAAGGTGATGAGAAAGGCTTCCACCCTCTTGGTGACTCCATCCCTAAGCAAACTTCCAGGAGATAAACACCCATTTGCTGACTATCAATCAAACTGGCATTGTCTTAAGGTTATATAATGTGATAAAGTTAAATATTAGCCTAAACGAGTAAATGTTAAGTGTAGTAAAAACTTACAATTAACTTATAGTCTAATAAAGTAATCTCTAGTTGATACTCTGTACCATGTTTTGTACATTTTTTTACGTTTAGGTGTTATATGCCGAATAAAATTTATTCAATCTAATACTGTTGTTTTTTGTGTGCTTTATAAATATTGTTGAATATTACGGTAAAAGGAACTTCAAAATTCATTCATATAAGTGACGGTTGAAATAATTAAAATATTTTTAGGAACCAGAAGTGGATTTTATTAAAAAAAAGAATTAACAGCTATGAACAATTTTAATGCAATCGGAAATTAAGAATTAGAACGCACAAATAATTAATGATGAGTACACTTCAATGCAAATCTAATAAATACGACACAGCTGAAACGTGTGAACGTTTGACGTATAGAGTATGTTTGACGTGCAAATGGGCCTGTCATCTGTTTGGGCCTGTCATTACTTCCTTTTATAGGCGCAGTGCGACTCGCTAATGTTACAGGTTCCTTCCCGTTCATTCCTAACAATATCATAAAAATAATTGAAACGTATTGCTACGTAGTAATGCCCTTTTCGTAATTAAATTATTTTGTTCTATGTTCTGTATATGCATGTCGTAAAATGGAACGAAAATTAGAGACATCCAACTCCTAGAGTATTATAAAAGAGTGACTTACTTTCGCTTCGCTCGGGTGTTACTCCAGATTATATATAATCTATCTGTCAGTGTGCTCTAAATTTCATCTAAGTCCCACCTATATCTATTTTGTACACAGACATACATAAACCTGGTGTAACACATTTGCGACTGTACGTACGTAGGTATCTTACCTAGGCTATGCTCTCAGGCGAAACGAGGGTTAGTTACTAGTCGGACTACTATCGTACTCGCAATTAGAAAAGTTTGTATATGTGTACTTCTTCACGATAAAGTGACTTGACAGATGTTAATGTACACAAATATAGACTACGACTTGATGTAACACACAGGCTACCGTTGGAAACATAAGGACGCACCCGAGCGAAGTGAGGATAAGTGTAAGTGTAACATAATAAAAATAGGATATGTATGAGATCTAAATTGTGTAATATAATTTTAAGATAACTCTGGGTGTACTTTCAAAAAGCGCACACCGCAGATCAATCTGAAATTTGGTATATTAACGTATTTTGACCTCCTAATCACGAATATCACAGAAGGAGAACCTCTTACTTCGGTGTGCATACCTATCCAACTTAGACTATTTTAGCTTTCCCCAGTAAGGGTATGTATGTGTGAAAAGAGTAAGGGTGTGTATCCTGGGAAAGGAACATAAAACACGCACACAGCGGAGAGGATTTTCAGTTGTTAAAAATGTGGGAGTAACGCCCCACAGTTCCTAATCTCCGCTGTAAGATTTAAAAGATGTAAAAAATGATTTTAAAAATTCAATAATGGCACCAGAGTATCTAACAATATTTGTTGATTTTAATTCTAAACATTAAATTTTTTTTAATAAGTATTATAATTAAATACAGTAATATTATTTGTTATGGATACCAGATAGTTACTACACTACAAATATATAATTTTAAATACTTACAAATTATAAATATAAACACCCATGATTGGAGCACAAACATTCGTGCTCATCACACAAATGAATACCCCCAGCGGGACTTGAACCCGCGATCGCTGGCACAGCAAGTATAGATCACTACAAACTGAACCAAGTGTGTCGTTGCTTCTTTCGCTTTTTTATCATCGTTTAATTTTAGCTGTTACTATTATAAATATTAAATTTTTCTAAAAAACTTTATTAATTGATAATATTATTTAGTGTTCCTATTACTATAATATGTATACCCAAAAAAAAAATTAAAAATATTAATTATTTATTTAATTAAGCAATATTATTGTTTTATATGTAAATTAAAAAAATAAATTATTAATTTAGATTGCTATTAAAGTTAAAATATTAAGCAACGCTATTGCTGTCTTTACAAATAAAAAATATATATTAATTTGAATTACTGTTATTGCGATCCACACAGTATGAACTAACTGCATGTTACGGAACTCGAATCGTCGCATCAGCTTTGCTCTACAAACCTCGTGCGGCGACGACAAGACAAGGTCAGGCGCAAGTGCAAGCGCAGCAGCCACCTACATTTCATCAATGCCAATGTCACAACTTCCTACAATAATGTAGTATAAAAGGCATTACTTGGCTGCATCTTCACTGATTTGATCTAACATCAATCGACAATCATTTTAGTATTAATAACTTTTAGTTAATAAATTAATTTTAAGTTAATTTGCATTTCTTTGCATCCCCTGGCTGCCTCCAAAACATAACTTGCATCTAATGGTCCGTTATGTTTGTTTTTGTTGTTAGATTTTATTATGTTTATTACAGGATCCCACGATGATGGTAGTTTATTAATAAAGTATTTTAGAAAATTCTAATATTTATAATAGTAACAGCTAAAATTAAATAAATAATATTACTGTATTTAATTATACTACTTATATAATTTTTTTTTTAATGTTAAGAATTAAAAACAACAAATATTGTAAGGTACTCTGGTGCCATTTTGGAATTTTTAAAATCATTTTTGTAAAATTGTGGCTAGGCACTGTGTGTAACAAGTATATAACGCTTTAGAGATGTCTAAAACCTCTCAAGTCTCTTCCGTGACCATGTTTGCTGTAAAGCATTCGAAACGTCGGGAACCAAAAATCAAAATAAATCCGCGAAGTAATCCGAAAAGATAATTTTATTAAGAGATACATCAACACAATGCTAATAAATAAATACTAGAAAATGGTAGGTCTTAAAAAGCTTACAGAAAATTTCGGGTTAGCATCTCCTAATGTTTACTCACTACTTAAAACGTTCTTACGGATGCGTCGAAAATTTAAAAAAATGTAGATGACCCGAGCGAAGCGAGTTTGTTGTGTAAAAAATTTTCATGATTTTTTTTAATTATATTTTTATATTGCTTAGTTTCCTATCGTATAAACATATCACTGATTTTTTTTTATTTAAATCTGGTAATATATGACTGCAAAATAGAATTCAGCTAGACTTTTTTTTTAGTGAAACTCCTCCTGGTAAAAGCATCTGTTACTAAGATTAGGAGTTGAATGTCTCTAATGGGAAAGAATTTTGCCTTTTTCACTCGCCAGATGTGGCCATCACTATGGCTCTCAGTATATTGTAAAGCTCTAAAGCGTGGATTCCTACATGTGAAGGAATACATTGAAGCTTTAAGACAAATCCCTTATTCACAAGTTTTTGTATCAATTTTATAATATCGTAAGCTATTGGTAACCCACGAAAAGTACTACTACATTTATTTAGATGTTTAAGAGCACTCTTAGAATCTGAAAAGATTACGTAGTGTCCTGTATTTAAAGATTCAATATATGCGATCGCTTCTGATATAGCAATCAATTCAATGTGCATAATAGACATATTTGTATTAGTTTGCAACTTTATTGTTGTACCATTTTGCGTACCTAAAAAGGCCACACCAGCTTCAATTTCGTCTTTACATCCATCCGTATAAATACTATAAAAATTACCATATTTTTCTCTAAAATAGTTCGTACGAATATTTTTAAGCATAATAGATTATATATAGATTATAAGACTTTTTTGATTTGTTAATTTACTGTATATGATTGCTAATAATATTAGATAAATCCACATTGCTCGTCCAAGTATCGAAAGAGAAACATCCCAAATTATTACTTTTATAAAAAGAAGTCGTTTTAAATTGATTATGAATAATGACTAGAAGTGGCTTGTTCTTGCGTCTCCAAAAATTAGTTCTACAGAGGTCACTTAGATTATCCAATATATTGTCCAAAACATATTGAAAGTAACTCATGGATTAATAAATAACTCATAACCAAAATTTGCCTGCAAGATATAACCGTCGCACACGCATAGGCTGGAGGTGAATTTCCGATTCCATAACATGAATTGGAGGGCTTCTAATGAAGCTGTCAATAATTCGCATAAATAAATTTTGTACTTTGTCAAGTTTACATAAATTTGTCTTATAGCTATTGGCAAGTAGAAAGCTAGCATAATCTAATCGGCTACGCACTATAGAAATTTATTCTCCTAAAATGATAGATGGATGGATGGATACCCCATCCCGAGCCAACCAATACTTTAAAACATTATAAATCTTAAGACATTATAATTTTACTTCATCGATGTGTTTACTCCAGCTTAAGGCATGCTCTAACCATACACCCAAATATTTTACTTCATCTACTACCTGCAGATTTATAAATGATGTGAATAAATTTTGAAATTCCTTTTACTGAACTATTCACCAATAAGTATAAAATGTACAAGAACAACAGTTTTTGATTGAGTAAATTTTATTCGGCATACCTAAACGTAATAACTATTAATTACAAAATGTAAAAACATGGTACAAAGTATCAACTAGAGATTACTTTATTTGACTATAAGTTAATTGTAAGTTTTTACTACACTTAACATTTACTTGTTTAGGCTAATATTTAACTTTATCACATTATATAACCTTAAGACAATGCCAGTTTGATTGATAGTCAGCAAATGGGTGTTTATCTCCTGGAAGTTTGTTTAGGGATGGAGTCACCAAGAGCGCGGAAGCCGTTCTCATCACCTTCGTAGGTGATTGTCTCTTGTTTGCCTTCGTCATTGAGATAGCTGTAAGATCCGCGAACTATAAGGACTGGAACGAGATTGTTCTTCTCATCCGGGCGTTGCTCGACTGTACCTTCCTCCTGGCGTGAAGTTCCGTCTTCAGTTTCGAAACTGTAAATTACATTTACTTATTTAATAAATAAATAAATAAATAAATAAAAATCTTTATTGGACACGTTTTAAAGATTAAAATTTACAAAATTATGTTCGATAATGACTACATTAGTTAAAACTGTGTCGTAGTCATTAACGCCCACCAGATTAAAAAAAAATATACATTATGTTCCAATATAAGATTTAAAAGTTAAATTAATTTAAGATATTAGTTATGATATGATGTATAGTATAAGTATATTGACGGTCCGTGTGTGTGTGTGTGTATGAGTGTGTGTGGTGAGTGTGTGTGGTGTGTGTGTGTGTGTGGTGTGTGTGTGTCAGCCATATAAAATGTATCTATTTTAGTAAGTTCTCGGTTTCCTCATATGTCAAGTCTAACAACCAAGCTGTAATTATATTTTTGCATACATGTAAGGTTCGGGGATATATATTAAGAACTTTGTTTATTTTGTTATATAAATTTGGGGAAAAGATATCATAATGCTGTTTAGCCAAAGCCGATGGTAATACGAATTGTTTTGCAAACTAAATCTGATCTGCGTTTATTAGAGATCATGTGGTAATCAAAAGGTGTTTGTTATTTATAATATTATCTTTTGATACTTTTCTAGATTTACGCGAACATTTGACGTTATTGCATGTTTGCATTTTTTAGTTAGTATAGATAGTTATGACACTTTCTGTAATTAAATTTTTAAATTGTATAATTGTGTTTTTTTTTCGGTTCAATACAAAATAGCTGCTATATTCAAAATAATGCGAGTTAAATAAAAGAATGCGTATAAAGCTGAAGATAGGCAATAAATCTATTTACTATATATCAGTATATTTAATTTTGCTAATTTCGAAATAGAAGTAACAAGAAAATCTGAAACTTCGTTTCCCAAACTGCTTAAATTTTACATATTATATTATAGTAAAAGTCAAATCAAAGTAAAATGTCAAATATTCGCGTAAATTTAAAAACTTTTAAACACATTTGACATAGCGTTTTGTACATTATTTGTTCAGTGTAAGTGCGTTTACAGCAGACAAAAAAGGGTTAAATCTCACCTGAAATTGTATCCTCCGTCAGGTTTATGCTCAAATTCCGACTTGAGAATCTGTGGTGTTTTCTTGGACTCTGTAGGGGCGGCGGCGGCGATGGCCACGAGGGCGAGGGCGACAATGATCTGAGATTAAAAACATCATTGCGATTAAAAATTAAACCATTATTATTATACAAGAAATAACACAGTGCTTATATTTAACTAACCACTTTCATGGTGGATTGATTAGGATAGACTTCGTTGATGTCAAAAGAGCAACTGATGTCGTGCATTCAAAGCGTATTCTTTTATACACTTCTTTCGATTAGGACAATCTGTCGTAGGTAATGTCGAAGGGCAAATACGCGATGAGACGAGTCCGGTTCCTATGTACCAGTTGTGGCGCACCTCAACCTTCATGAAATTAGGAAAACAACCCTCTTTTCTTATACTAAAATGCAAGTTTTGTTAAAATACTAGCGAATTGCCCTCGTTTCGCTCGGGTGCTCAGGTACGATTTTGCTTGCAATTTTATAGTTAATTTTCTTGTGCTGAACTCAAATTTTTTTCTTAAATAAAGGTAGCCTAAGTTACTCCTTATAACATCAGGTATCAGTTTCGCCGTTTTGTAGATAGCCGGAATAAGCAGACAGATAGACACAAATTTTTAAAATTGCATTCTGTAAGTCCTACCGTAAATAAATTCATATGCATTTAGTAAAAAGTTGTGATTTTGACATAACTAACAGACATTTTAAATATAATATAAATTTCTATAAACAACAGACCGAAAACAATCTCATTTTTCAATTACCGTGACAACAGCGAATTCTAATCCTATCTATTTGTGGTTTCTATCCTAAATAAGTAAGTTCGTAGATAGATAGATTATCAGAATTTGCCGTTAATCAAGTTAACCTTTTGCTTTCCATCGTTAATAGACAACTAATACTATATTATATACGTGCTATCCATTTACGAATTATGTGATTTCCTTTTAGAGGGACGATGAGCAATAAAGCGTTAACAGCATTTTTTAAAGAAAAATGTAGACAAACAAGCAACTGTGACAAATTATTACATAGACCTTCGTGTTGCGTACTTTGAACAGTTAAGTGTGAATGATTCTTCCGTGAGAATTTGAATAATTAATTATATATAAATCACTAATTTTAACAAAATATAAATATATTATCAATAATAACCATTGTGAACTACCCACTAGCCTATTTTTTTTAAAATGCATTTATGCACGAAGTGTGGGACTCACCGGCAAATCCAGTACTACTCACTAAATCCCAACAAAACCTTCCCCCGTCGTAATGGGGCATCGCAGGATCGCTTACGCATTCAACTACGACGCCCCGATGGCAGGTTTGCTGAGACAGACCACAACGACCATGGGGTTACTCCAAGGCCCACTCTGCTATCAGAGAAGTACCAGGAGCAACCCGCATGGTACACCGCCCACCGAAGTGGGCCACCATCCATCGCCCACCGAAGTGAGCCACCTCCCTGTGCGTTTCTTGGCTTCGCACCCGGCTGGATTGCCGGGCACTACTGAGCCCCCCCCCCCCCACCACGACAAGGTGAACGCACGTTGGGGGGGACCAACTAGCCTATAGCCCAGCCTATAATCTACAATAAGCTACTTTTTAACCGATGCAAAAAAAAAGGAGGAGGTTCTTAACTCGAAACGTTTTTTTTAATGTGTAATCCGATTTCGATGATTCTTATTTTGTAGGAAAGGGTATACCTTAAAGTTGGTTTCGTTTAAATTTGAAAAGAAAAACACTTTTAAGTGTAGGAAATAGGGTCTGATTTTTTTTTCACCTACTGAATTCTTAAAATACTTTCTTCTTATTTTGCTACTTCTACAAATGTCTACATTAAAAATGGAAAAATAAAAACTTTAAAAAATAAAATATATGGTTTCAAAACTGGGGCGTTTTGGGGTGAGAAGTCGTATGCTATTATCGTATGGGATAATCTTTAGACGATAATCGCATTCACATATTTACTTTTAACTAAAAAATGAAAATTCGCCTACGAGTATGTCATACGATAAGGTAAATTATCGCCAAGCGTTTTGCTTCTACTATACAAATCGCAATGAGATATTTGCCTACTATTTCTCGACTTGTCTAAACTCAATATCGTATGACTTTTTTCAAGTTCATGCGAGTATCGTACAAATCAGTTTGAACCGATTTGAATTAGAGATTTGTCACTCGAGCTCGGTAATTATTAAAGTCTTCATTTTTAAAAACTATTTAAGATTCCACACACGTTAAATCTTAAGTGGAACCAATTACACCATATTTTTTTTACTTTTCGTAATTTAAGTGCAGAAATGTCTTGCGGTTCACAGGAGATACTTGATACTTCAGTCATACGCTAATACATAATGGTCGTGACAGATGGACAGACAAACATAACGAATTATTATAAGGGTTCCGATTTTGTCATTTGGCAACTGTAGATTTATTCTTCAAAAATAACAACAAATTGAGTCTCAAGTTGTGTATAAAGGTCAACAACAATGTACATCTATTATTATTACTTTTAAAGGGATTTTATTTAAGCTTATTGATTAAGTAAAGCAACCTCCACACATTTTTCCCTTCTTTCTTTCCGATATTCTTGTAGTTCTTAAGACACTTAGAGGAGGTTATATGTTCGGGTGATATTTTTATGCGTGCATATTTATTACATTATATTACTCTGATATCACTCGGCCGATTCGCGTAATTCTTTTGTGATGTTGCGAAACTCCTTTACGAATTGATTATGAACTAAATTTAATATTTTTTTAATATTGTATGGAGTCAGTTCTTTATGGAATTTTGCCTAAATAAAGAAAGGTTCGGTACAAATACAAATATTCTTTATTGCACAACAAAAATTTTCATGACATCTATACATATAATAAAATTGTAACTAAGCCGAATCTGTACATTAAATTTTTTTTGGAAAGTCTTATTGAAATACATTATTATCGATACAAAGGTCGAATCTATAGTTTTTAGAATTTTTGTCTGTCTGTCTGTTACCGCATCACAGAAAAACCACTAGAGAGATTTTGATGAAATTTGGTATGGTTAGAGCTGGTTATCCGGGTCAACATATACTTTTTACCGCGGTAAAATATCCTATTTTTGAGAAAAACTGCAAAAACTGCAATGCAAGAGTATACTAATTTATAAAACCTAAGAATTTGGTTTTTAATCATCTGAAAAAGGGGCGGAACCGCGGGCAATGATAGTACATAAATAAAAATGAAGATAGCACTACAGGCGGCTTTATAATATGCTTAGTGAGCGATTACTTCCATTTTATCTCACACGAATTTCTTCGATATATATTTATATTATTTTTTAGATTATTCGATATATATCATTTTCATTGAATATCGTGTGGCTAAATAATAACAGTAACTTTAAAAAAAATATATTTAATAATGCATACTTAGTAATTTGATGGTCGCTTTTTATTTTAACAGAAATGTTTTAATAACCTTACAAATATTAATATAATACGTAAATAGGTACATGTTAAGCAATACACATTTAAATACTTAATCGTAATAGAGAAAAAAATTATTATGTTATCTCCTACAAAAGGAAGAGTCTATTTTTATTATTTATAATACATTTTTTTTCAAAACTTGTGAATTAATTTAAATTAAAACTTGTACAAATATTAGAATTACACACCCTCATTCTCTGAAGAAAGTAAATAGTATATACTTTCATATGTATTTTGGTAAAAAGCTGTTATTTTGACATTACAAACAGTAAACTTCAATTTTATTTAACTGTATAGATAAAAATGTTATTTGACTGATATAAAAAACGCGTGCGCACACATCATAGTGTTCAAACAAACATCTATTTTAGTACTAAATATCGGAATAATGTAACTTTATTTGATTGATCATAAAAATCGCCATCAATTTTTCTGTTTACCTATTTGAAAATAAGGCGTAAGAAAAACATTCGGACAAAGCCTAATATTATTTATATCATTTTTTGTATTTAGAGTGAACCTATTCTGACCTTGCTTGCGCCTGAATGCTAGATCAAGTATAGGCCGGATGAGGATTTTAATAATAATTTTAACGTAAGTGTATAAAACCTTTTTATAAAACTATTCGTTAATATTACCATTTCCAATAAAAAAATAGAAATTTCATTTTACGCTATTGAACTCCGCGGTATTTTGCAATTTTCGCAAAATCAAACAATAATGTCTAAAATGTCATTCATTTGTTCATCGATATATGTATTTAATTGATTACGTTCAAGCACTAGAAATAGAGTGAGTTTTTATGTATTGTGTATCAGTGTTTATAATAATGTATAAAATCTTTGTGTGCGTTATGCTTCACTTTGTTGAACGAGTTTTCATACATTTGTATTTTATGTCGAGTCCAGTGGCTCATTTGTTCATGCGTAATGCATATAGTATTGCAACTCGGACTTGTCCTTGAAATAATTACCTACAGCCGAGCGGCACGTACCCACGCGACAGGGCTTCCCGACTGCCCGCCGGCTAGTATTATAATTTCATCTACCTACTTGAGTTTCTTTCTAATTTTGTAATTTCAAATATATTTTTTAATAATAAATGTTGGGATATTAACACACAGCGCCATCTAGTACCATGGTAAGCTACGAGGCTTGTGTTGTGGATACCAGATAGTTGATACACTACACATATATAAATTTAAAATACTGCCTCGGTGGTGTAGTGGCTAGCATGTACGGCTGCACGCCCGGAGGTCCTGGGTTCGAGTCCCGGGTCGGGCCAAGTTTAGTTATTGAGTCTTTCTGTATAGTAAGCCTCAGTAACAGCCCGGAGTTGGGAAGTTGGCGGTGCTTCACTCCCGTGCCTCGGAGAGCATGTAAAGCCGTCGGTCCTGCGCCTTAACTCTCACTGGTCGTGCCGAGAAGTCGTCCCACCGGAGTATGAGAGTGACAGGAATAGAGAGTGCACTTGTGTCTGTGCGTACACTAGAGCACTATAATATCTCCTGCCTGGCCGGAATCGGCTAGGAGAACATCACATCATCATAACTATAAATACATACATTTAAAAACTATCATTAGTACATTTCATTAAAAAGATTTAGATTAGAGATTTAAAAATATTTGCGACTCCACTGAGACGTATGAAAAGCTTTATTGTTAAATTTAATAGTATAAAGAATCTGCATTTGGATAAAAAGTTTAATTAAATATACATTAATTTTTATATTTAATTTAATTAATTATTTTTTATTTTTAAAACATACGATGTCTCGATACTTTTTTGTTGGATATTAGCGAAGTTACGATAGGAATAAAATGTTTATTTTTGTATCAAATTATAAAAGTTACATAACATACCCACCTCATACAATTTTCGTATCCAATTATACGATCTGGCAGCCCGCACGGTTGTCTACCGAGTGTATACCGAACGCACCGCGCGTACATAACTCGATTTCCGACCATTTGTATGAAGATGGAATATGTAATATTACTGTGGCGAGGGTAAGTCGCTACTTAGCAATAAAAGGTTTCAAAAATACAAACATAAAAATCTATTAGTGCATATATGTAGTGTTCCATTGTTATTACTAACAGATTTTCCAAATATTGACCAGTGTTACTGTAATATTTTATAACATTGCTCGTACAAATACTATACTTACGCGGAAATAAAAAAAAATCAATACAAATTTTAAAAATAAAACTATATTTTAATACAACTCTATCCTTTTAAATAAACTTAGAATGTATTGTTGCTTAATATTTTTAACTTTTAAATTTATTACTATAGAAATAGCTACACTAAATAAGATAATTAATAATAGTTTTTTTTAATTGCAAGAATTATAATACTTGCAACCAAAATTAAAATATAATCTATACATATAATAAAATTTTGACTGAGTCAAATCTGTACATTAAATATTTTTTGGAAAATCTTATTGAAATAGACATTATTATCGATGCAGAGACCGAATTTATGGTTTTTAGAATTTTTGTCTGTCTGTCTGTTACCGCATCACAGAAAAACTACTGAACGGATTTTGATAAAATTTGGTATGGTCATAGCATACGATACGGGTCAACATATGGGATACTTTTTACCGCGGAAAAATATCTCATTTCTGAGAAAAATACAAAAACTGTATTATAAGAGTACATACTGATATGTAAAACCTAAGAATTTGGTTTTTGGTCATCTGAACGCGGGCGGAGCCGCGGGCAATGCTAGTATTTAATATTCTATTATATAATTTATTAAAATGTTTTAAAATTAAATTAACAAATATTGTAAGGTAGGTACCTACTTCGGTGCCATTTATCTATTTCTTTCAAAATATTGTATAATTTTGTGGATAGATACTGTGGATAGTTGTTACACTACTATATAGTAACTATTGAGATGTCAAAAACGTTAGTATCTCCCATCACCATGTTTGTTGTAAAGCATTCGAAACACAAGGAACCAAAACCAAAACTGAGACAAAATCCGGAATGATAGTTTTATAGGATTTTAGGTCATGATTTAGAATTTTCTTGATTACGGATTACAAGACCATTTCTTCGGTCATTTAAATTAGATGGCGCTACTATTATTATTTTACTAACAGCTCTATTGTAGTATGCTTAAGTTATTTTATGTTGCTGAGAAATTAAAGCTACGTAAAATCACAGATCATATAATACTATACTAGGTAAAATATACTTGTGTTCTATAATTAATATTAATATATTTTTAATATAATGTGAATCTCGTATATACGTATGTAGATTAATTTAAATCCTACAATTGTTGAGCTTTCACATTATCACAGTTTCGTTAGGAGGCTAGAAAATGTTTAAAATAATTAAATAAATAAATAAATAAAATAAATAAATAAATATTAATGTTATTAGTATGTTGATAATAAATAATATGTTCAATTGTTGTTATCGTCAATTAAAAGCTATATATAAAAAAAAAACATTAAAACTTAAGATCGCTTATGATAGCGCTCGAAATAGATCTGGTTTACATAAAAATATATATACACTTACCTAGAACGAAAGCGTTAATGTGTGACTTTTTTCACGTGGTGTTACAATAAAAAAAGGTTCATTTTAACACCTTTTTGTTAGCTTTACTTTTAACTTACACAAATTTTATAAAATAAGCTTGCTTATTTTAATATAGATTTATAATATTTTCTGTTTCTTCGAAAATAATACGGCAAAAATGTAATAAAAAATGGGCAAATTGTAATAAATTAGCGAGGCCGTATTGATTTTTATTCAACTTTCATAGGAAAGATCATATTTGATAAATATGAATACATTGCATAAATAGAAACTACGACACTACTCAAAAATTACATAGCAAATATGGAGTCGACATGTACTCAACGTTTATTTGCCATTTAATATTACGTTAGTTTATCATTGCCGTGAGGTGAATATAAAAGCATATGTTTCAGACGTTATAGCATCAGTTGATCCTTTGATTGCAACGAAAAAATACAAATTCAATACACCATGAAAATGGTACGCACTTAAATATGTAGTTGTAACTTATTTTTTGTTGTTCAAAGTGGGCCAATATTAATACGGGTTTGTGTTTTAGATCATTATTATTCTTGCCCTTGTGGCCCTTGTTGCCGCTGCTCCCGTAGATGAGAAGGAACCACCAAAAATCTTGCGCGCTGAATTCGACCAGCAACCTCAAGGATCCTACGTGTATAGGTAAGACGTTACAAAGATTCCGCAGTTTGAATAAAAATATACCTTAACAGTTTAATTAGAGGACTAGTTTGTTACTAAAATGAAATTCTAAAACATAATTTATTTGTAGGAAATAGGTACAATCGGAAATACATATGTATCACTTTACTATGTATAAATAATTGTCGTTAAACAATAATAAATATAACTTAATTTGGTAATTTTTGCTTATTACAAATTCAGAAGTATGTAGCTATTAATTTTTATGATCAAAACTAGCTATTTTTTCTATTTTTGTATTGTTTGAATTACTAAAATGTGGAATTTGCAGTTTCGAAACCGAAAACGGAATATCCCGCAGTGAAACTGGTGAATTGAAGGAAGTTCTCGATGAGGAGAATAAGCCTCACTCCGTTATTATTGTTCGCGGGTCATATTCCTATATTAACAGTGAAGGCAAGCAGGATACCATCACGTACGTGGCTGACGAGACCGGCTTCCATCCCGAAGGCGAGTCTATCCCCAAACCAGCATCTAGGAGATAAATCACGCTGAAAGGATAAAGTTGTAATAAAATAATTAAGTTTAATGACTTTTGTCGATTGTTTTTAATATTAAATATTAAGAGCAATGCGATCATTTATAAACTATCTGCCATATTAAATGATTTGATAATTGATACTCAGACAATTAATATAGTTTCATGTTCATTCTTAGTGCCATTTTTAGTAAATTTTGTAAGTCATTTTTATGTAATGGTATTCAAAAGTATGTTACCTAAATAAAAAATCGTTTAAAATAACTATTATTTTATTTATATTCTTAAATTGAATAAGAAATCTTCAGGTATTTAAAAATAGTAATAATAAATTAATACAAAAAATATCTTTGCAAGTTCTAAGAACGTGCAAAGATATTTTTACGTTTTACTATTTTTTGTTTTAAAAATCAATCTAAAATTACAAATGAAGATATAAAATGAATCATAAAAAAATATTTCATAATTAACGATTAAGCGTAATAACTGAGCAATCCAAAAACTAACATTAAAAAATTTTGTACTTTATTTGTGATCTTGTTATCTTAAAACTAAAATTTTAAAAACATTTATGAGATTTTTACTTTTTGGTTACTTACTTAACTTTTGAATAAACTAGTTTTCAATCATCATTAAATGTGTTATTGATGTAACGACGTCTGAATGATCAAAATCGGTTAAGCCGTTTGATAATTACTAGGGAATTTGGGGTCGGACATACATAAATACATATATACATACATACAGATCAAACACATGAGTCTTGTAATCATTATTTTTAACTTCATCACAGCTTTATTATAGTGGGATTGGTTTCGGTTGCGAACCAACTTATTTGTAAGTTCATTATAGATCTTAAATGGTCATTCGAAATGAAAAATGAATAGAGAAACGTAAAGATAATTTCCAAATACCTATTCAATGATACCCCACTTAACAATAAACAAGTAGACGAACTTTAATTATTTTCTTTTTCACAATATGGCATCTGGTTGTCGCCACATAGAATTTTGATTACTGTCATGTCTTCAGTGACACTCGCAAAATTAAGATAAATCCTTTGACGTAAGAGTCATCAAAATCGGCCCACACGTTTGGTTTCTAGAGTGCCACAAAAGAACAAACATTTGCACATACATATTATATAGGTTGACCCTCTCTAATTAAATCTGCTATCTAATATTCGAGCACAACTTCATTATAGTATATAAAAATGCTTACAGTTTTTGAATAAGGAATAAAAGTAATATGTGCAAATACTAATATAACATTTAATTAAAAAAAATCATGTTAGACAATGGTGGTGTATAACTTCTATGTTTGAACTCATATTGTGACAGTAGCGTTACAGCAAAACGTTTCTACTTATCTTTACCCGACTGCGACGAAGTTCAAAGAAAGATTATTGACCTATATGTATGTCTCCGACTGCATAACACCATGTTTCTTCTCAACTTGTTCTCATAATTTTAGTTCGTTTTATATGCAATCAGGTTTATAAAACTCGGTCCTATAAAACTGTAAAACTGTCTAAATTATATATGTGCTGTATAGTTGATAAAGATGTGTATATCAGATTCGTTTGATAAAATCGGTCTCAAAGTTAGATTTTAATTTCCAACTTAATACAAATCCTTTAGTAAATAATACATTAAAAATCCTTATATGTTTGTATATAGTTAATATTTATGTACATTGCATAAACATGCTTATGGTTTATGTGTTGCTTAGTGCGAAAATGTTTGTGTTGGTCTGTGGTTTTTTATTACACATCCAATGAACAAGATTGACAGTTGCTATTCTTTAAGAAACCATATTTCCATAATATTACTAAGCCCTAAAAACCGAACGATTCCTGTATATTTGATTAAATTTAAATTATTGCAAATATGTCGAAAGCAAAGAAGAAGAAGCGAAAGCAGCTTAGTAGCAATTCAATATTTTTAAATATACATATTTGTACTTAGTATAAATATGTAGAAATATGTAGGTTTGTGTACTCATTGTTCGTGACCTTTATGGTTTAGGCGTAGTCAAGTCATCTCGCATTCAAAGCAGATTTGTCCATTTGGCGATGTCATCTTAATATTCAATGTTCATAGTAGGTGAACTAAATGTTAAATGTAAAGATTATTAAGTGACTAATCATGATGGGAAATAGTATTCATATTACGTAAAATTTATTTATATACTTACGCGAATTTTTGGTATGTGAGTTAAAAGTAGGTATACCTATATATATATATATATATATATATATATATATATATATATATATATATATATATATATAACGAAATATGTTGTAGTTAGTAGCTTTCATGAAAAGAAGACATCAGCGTATTTATTTCCAGGAAACATATCTGTAAAATGTTTAAAATATGCAACAGAAACACAACAGTTTAAGGAGATAAATAAAATTGTAGTTGAATCTACGCATCGAGTTTAAATATTGTTATTTTATTTTAACTGTGCAATAAGGTCATAGAACACCCAAAGTAGTAATAATAAGTAATAACATTTCATTATGAAAGGTTTCTTAAGCTTGCCGCTCATACACGGTTTCTTGATTCAAAGTTTAAATTAGATTTCTAAATTGGACAACGAATGTACTATAAAAGCTAATACGTACATATAATATTTTCTCTTCACAAACCATTTCTCACGTTCGTTCCGGAAGTTTCTCCTGTGTGTGAGTATGTATTTCTTATACGGAAATTGAATCAAGACACTGTGCATATATTGGTTATTTTCATAAAATCTTTGATTATAATAAATACCACTAAATATATGTTCTTTTGTGAAGAAATAAAGACGAAGACTCATTTTTAATCGCACGCAGAAATTTGCAGCGGACCGCGATGTTACCTCGTTAACCGTAAAAATACAAAGATAAACTTAGTTAAAAATGTAAATGAGTCTTTTATAATTAAGAGCAATAAGACGAGCAATCACTATTTAATTGACAGTAAGATTGTTATCACTATTGTTTATGCTAAAATTAATGAAATTTAACCTTCGTAAAAAGAATAATGTACCAAAGCTTCTTCCTGTTGATCTTTTATTCCAATTTTTTGCTATGTTTCATGATATATTTAATACATATTAGATATATAAAGTTAGTTTTACAAAACTCCAGCAATATTTTTAGATTATTAGAGTTAAATTATTAAATTAAAAAAAATACCGCACTAAGTATTCGTTTTAAGTTTAAGAGTGCGCTATGAGACCGCTACGATCAATAGCAATATATGTGCAGAATATGTATTTTACAAAAGAAAATATTATCTAGAAAATTTTCTCCAATCGTGTTTTAAAATTTGTCAATTCAAGATAACAGTATCATTTCCGTAAATATCAAAGTGATAAATTTCGCAGATTCTATGCTAAATAATGATTAACGATGTCTACGTACAAAATTGCCACTCAAAATGCACACTCTTAAGAATCCTATATTAAGACGTTTAGGTTATTGGTCCGTTTGTCTATCTATATTATCTTTATGTAGATTTATAAGTACGATAATCTTTTAAGGCCTCGAGCTTTATCTTGTGTGATTTGTGTAACGTTGTTAAAACTAATAGTAATTGAATATTAGGGGCGTGTGTAAATCTCACGTTTCAGTGAACACATTACAAAAACTATGAGTAACCCTGCGTATAAATGGATTAATCTGATTCTACATTAACAGTAGCAAAGTGAATAGATACAACAGTACCAGCTTAGTTTGTTAAAATTCTAAGGTTTTTAAGTTTCAAAGGTATTAATTTTGTATTTATCTTATGTGTACACATGAGGCTATTAAAATGATAAAAATATTTGTACATAGACTATTACTAGTTTTATAATATTAGGAAATTGTATGTATAATGTATATACTAGATATATATATATATATGTATATAGTTTCTGTCTTAAACGATTCGAATTAAAATTAGTGCGTTAGAATAAAAATCAGAGATAAGATATATATATAAATATATATATATATATATATATATATATATATATATATATATATATAGGTACATATTGCTTATAATGTACCTTAAATACCGTTTAGCTTTTAAGGACTGACATTTTTACTCTAAGGAACTTGTAACAATTTTTGTTACAGATGTATCTTTCCATATTATTGACGTTGCTCGCCCTAACGAGTACCTTTGGACATCCACAAGCAGTACCTGCAGGAGTGGCGTCTCCGCTTAATCCATACTACGCGGGTCGTAACTCTCTCGCTTCCCGTTACAGCCCCTATTATAACCCAGCCAGTGCCACTGTACCCATTCTAACCTATTCAAGCAACCAGGGAATCGATGGCAGCTACGATTTCAGGTATTTAGTATAGAGTGATAAAGACTATAGATATGATATAAGCTTTTAATTTTTCAGCATAAAACTGTTATAAATAGAAAAAATAATATATTTTCATATATTATGCATATATAATATAATATATTTTGTGGCCTTTTAGGTCGTTATCTGTGAGTGTACATTATGCAAGTATGACATAAATCTATAAAAATTATTGCCCACGCTTCTGATGAGGATCTTTGGCGTGATGAGCAGAATAACTCTTCAAAATGCTGTTTGTGCTCGCAAGATCTACTGTTTCCAGAACTAGTAATATGAACAGTATGTCGTTAATATGAATAATTATTATAAAAGTTTCCATTGTTGATAGTTTTACGACGGGCGATGGCAAACAAGCTCAAGAAACTGGATATCTAAAGAGTGCCTACATAGACAACACTGGTGCTCCTCAAGGGGCTCAGGTAAATTATTTATAAAAGCTATTAGAATAATATAAACTTATCAATATAATATACGAGGGCTAGACGTTTTTACCCGACTGCGCAACGCAAAGGAGGGTAATGTGTTTATCAGTCTATATATATATATATATGTATGTATGTATGTTTGTTTGTTTGTTTGTTTGTCTATGTGGCGTTCTAGAGACCAAACGCTTAGGCCGACTTCGATGATTCATACGTCGTTAGATTTGTCTTATTATGCGACTGTTATAGGCTATATAAAATAGTTAAAAATTAAAATGGCGGATTTCAGGCGCGAATTTGCCTTTAAAAGGAAAAATTTCTTCCAAACCAATCGAGTGGGGTATTACAATATAAAGGTTTTTAAGAGGCGATCACAATAATATACAAGACTTATATTATGTTTAAAAGTAATTTAAGATAAAAAAAATGCTAAATCTAACTTGAATTGTCTAATTGGCAAAAACTGAAAAACTGTAAATAAAAAGATATATGTATTATAAAATTAAAGACCCGACTGCATAAAAGCTAACTAAAAAGATGAAAAAAAGGTTACGAAGGAATAATATTTATTATGCAGTCGGAGATATGTACATGTGTATACATCTTGCGGCAAAGATGAAACGTGTGTTTCCGACTGCATAATAATTTTATTCCTTCGTCACCTTGTTTTTTAATAATATAAAAATATATACATAACAGAAACACACATAGGATTATTTTTAAATATTATATATATATATATATATATATATATATATATATATTATTTTTAAATATATACTTTATTTATACTACTAGTACTTTTATAACGAAGTAGTTTCTGCCGATTTTTGTAAAGATGAAGCAGATTAATTTAATACATATATTTTCATATCATAGTTTATTAATTAATTATAACCATCAAATTTTTATTTTTTTATTTTTAATATACTATAATATATTAATTATTAAAATTGAAAATGTTTATTTCGAACAGGTTAAAGAAGGCAGTTTCAGCTATGTCTCTCCAGAAGGTACTCCTATTCAATTAAACTACGTAGCAGATGAAAATGGTAAGTAGAATAGAACCATGTAATTGTAGTATTCAGCCTTTTTGTAAAGTCCCACCACTGGGCATGAACCTTCCCTTAATACGAGGGTATAGTCCACCACGCCGACCAAGTGCAGGTTGGCAGACTTATATGTTTTTCAAAAACTTCTTGCTAGATTCTCTCAGGCATTCAGGTTTCTTCACGATATGTCCCTTCACCGTAAGGCAAGTGGTAATCACATTGGACAAAAAAGATTTTATCACTTGCTTATTATGAATTTTATAAAAAAACATAATACGGTATGTGCGAGCTCGCTCATCTCGTTATGAACATGTTTCGAGATTTAAGTAATAAATAATAAATTATAAAACAATGTAGCTATTTGTAAATTGTTAACAAAATATTATAACGATGTGGTAAATACAAAGATGAAAAAAAAACTCCATAGTCGTGCACATTGCACAATGGTAGTGAAATAACAATAGATGTGCCCTATTCAGTTAGACGGTAGTAACTAGCTAGTTGGTTGATCTTACACAAAATATAAAATCATTTATTTCTCTTCATCTGAAAAAAAGGTAATTTTCTCATATTTTAATATTGTTGTTCCCTGAATGTCACTTGTATCCAAACGTACTTTTTTATTTTTACAGGTTTCAGGCCTCTCGGTTTTCATATACCAGCAGATGGAAGAGGAGTTGTACCAGCTGGCTTACTAGATACTATAAAAGGATCACAAGCATATGACCCTCGTTATAATCTCTACGATCCATATAACGGTAATCTAGCACATAGACAGTACAATCCTCTAAAGCCTTATGATGCCAGATATCCTACTGATCCTAATTATTATAATCCTTATAATCCTTATAGATCTGCCTACAATACTGCCTACAATAATATTGCAAAGGGAGTTCAAAAAATTACCAATTAAATGTACAAATTCATGTAAAATGATTGATTGATTGATGACAGTGTTTTTAATTGTATAAAACTTGACAAACAATAAAATATACATACAAAATTACTGAAAACAGTATAATTTTTTTGTTTATAAAAGTCCCAATACTATGTAAGTTTGTAAATACATAATTCTAAAATAATGAATATTATCTGATTAGAATTTATGCTAAATTTCTTGTCCGTGTGTGTATGTTTGTTACTCTTTCACGCTGAAATGGCTAAAGCGATTAGGATGAAATTTATTACGGCTGGAATTTATTATTGGGCTATGCCTGGACCACATCACCTTTTTCTTCTTTTTTTTTAACTTTGGGAAATGCATTTACGCACGAGGTGTGGGCCTCACCGGCAAAGCCAGTATCCTACCCACTAAAACCCAACAAAACTTTCCCCCGTTTTAATGGGGCGTCACAGGATCGCTTACGCATTCAACTACGACGCCCCGACGGCAGGTCTGCCGAGGCAGACCACAAAAGTCATGGGGTTGCTCCAAAGTCCACTCTGCGATCAGAGAAGTACCAGAAGCAACCAGCATGGTACACCGCCCACCGAAGAGGGCCGCCTCCCACCGCCCACCGAAATGGGCCACCTTCCTGTGCGTTTCTTGGCTTCGCGCCCGGCTGGATTGCCGGGCACTACTGGGCCCCCCACCACGACAAGGTGAACACACGTTGAGGGGGTGGACTACATCACCTAGGGAAGCGAGAGTAAGTCGCCAGTTCTCAACATGTATATATTTACGTGCATTATAATATTTACAAAAAGTTTAATTAATCTTACAGAGTAAAATGCACACATCAAATATGAATCGTTGTGTCAAATGTAAATTTTCAAATTAAAGAAGAACTTAACATAATAATTATCTACTGACCAAAAAGGAGGAGGTTTTAAATTCCTCGGATTACAGCCAGCCGATACAAATCAAACCAAACTGACTTTGAAAATATATGATATTTATTCTTAATGAAAACCTAACTCTACAACTAAACTCTAAATGGAAGTCGGTTTTAATTTATTGTATTTAGTTTTAAAATTTTTAGAAAATCGTAAAAATATTTTACACCCACCCTAATTTTAAAATAGGTATTATTTGCTTCATACTTATAGAGTTTTTCAGCATTAAAGTTATATGGTTATATAAAAATCAAAAAAAGAATATGTTAATGCTCTTGAAAGAAATGCTAATTAACATAATAGGGGCCAAAAAGTGAATAACAGTTAAATAACAATATTTGGTTAGTATGTGTGATGGGGCGATGAAGCAAGATCAATAAATTTTTGTCTTAAAAAACCTTGTTGAAGTGTGTCATACACTCTTGTAACAGGTTTCCAGAAATCTGTCTGCAGTGATGCACCTACGAGTTAAGGTTTTACAAAAATTTTAACCTAATTATTCCATAATATTCATATTTAGTAGTGACTTGAAAGAAACTTAAAATATTTCATACCAATTGATCTATTTATTTATGTATAGGGAAAATAATTAGCTTTTGCTAATTAGTTCATATATCTCATTAATTTTGGATAAGTTGCCAAAAATTTGGCTTATATAACAAATGGGTGTTGCTGGTGCTGAGTATTTTGGAACAAACTATTTCTTATTATTCAGCATGATGACTGCGCCAGTCAGGTACGCTATCATTGTGACATTAATAGTTTGTCAGTTTTTGTATACTAGTGTTCACCTAGTGGTTGAAATTCCATCATAATCATTATATAAATTTGGAGGAAAACATATTATATGAACAAAATTTACCTATCTATATAAAAAACGATCTGTTTTAATTTTTGTAATGATAATACTAAAATTTGTCCATAAACATTTACTAAACAAATAAAAAAACCATTTTTTGGTTCACAAACAAAGAAGAAAAAGATACTGAATTGTTTTGTCTTTGCCTCATCATATTTACATGGATATGTATGTGGTTACCGAAAACTAGACTCGAATATCTACATTCCTTTATTTGTATGCTTACTTTATTTAGAGTTTATATTTAACAAAGCTTCTCCTCATTATAGGTCAACTTAAACTAATAAAAACTTTATAAAATAATTAAAACCGACTCCCAGGTACTAAAATGTAAAAACAACGAAACGGGGGTTTTCATTTAGAATAGATACCTAATCAGATATTTTCGAAGTCGGTGCCAGCGGACAATATTTTAAGTCTTGGTATTCTATAAATTTGTGATTGTAATATGCCTAATATGGCTTATTTAGTTATTTTATTAATTTATCATTCCTTTTATAAACAGAGCGTTGTGACATACGGGATGAATTAATATTTAGCTATTTTTGTTCTGTTACGCCAAAGAAGTATAACTTCTACGTGCGTACATAAGTACACACACGTTTTTTTAATAAATATTCTTATATTTTGCAGATGACACATTCCCACATGTTGAAATTTCTTGCATGTTTTGCAGAAATGTGATAAGATCAAAAACGTGAGAAATTAAATATTATAATACTTTCCCACATGTGACAGAAGAAATTACTTAAAATTATAAAGAGTGTTCTCGTATGAAGGGATTGCTACTTAAATTTTACTTATAAATTATAATATCTATAATAGAATATTGTTAAATTATTAATACATTATTACTCAAATGAAATATTAACGATAGGAAAAGACAACTGTCCAAAAATAAATTAAATAAATGAATAGACATGTTGGGTCCATGGTAAGCTTTTGTTATGGATACCAGATAGTTAATACAATACACATATATAAGTTTAAATACATATCTATACATATAATAAAATTGTAACTAAGTCGAATCTGTACATTAAATATTTTTTGAAAAATTTAATTAAAATAGACATTTTTATCGATACAGAGCCCGAATCTATAGTTTTTAGAATTTTTGTCTGTCTGTCTGTCTGTCTGTCTGTCTGTCTGTTACCGCATCACGAGAAAAGCACTGGACAGATTTTGATGAAATTTGGTATTATGATAGCTGGTTATCCAGGTCAACATATAGGATACTTTTTAGCGCGGAAAATTATTTCATTTCGGAGAAAAAATACAAAAACTGAATTGTAAGAGTATACTAATATGTAAAACCTAAGAATTTGGTTTTTGGTCGTCTGAACGCGGGCGGAGCCGGAGGCAATGCTAGTATATTATAAATATAAACACCCATGACTCGAGTAGAAGCATTTGAATAACACAAACAAATGAATACCCCCAGCGGGACCTGAATTCGCGACCGCTGGCACAGCAAGTAGGGTCACTACAAACTGAGCCAAACGTGTCGTCGATATTATGTAGGAGTATTATGCTAATTAAGCAGATTGTAGAGACCTACGTATTTTATTAGTGTAAGTATTATTATGAAATATTTTTCCTGTAAACCTGAGACGTAACATATCAAATTTAAGTGATTTGATTTAAGAAACTTTAATTAAGTCCGAATAATTTATTTGTTGCAACTTTATTCTAAGGATCGTAAGGTGTATTTTTAAAGTTTCCATTCAAGAGATATAAAACAGCTTAATAAGGGAGACCCCACAGTACTTATCCTTTGTCGCAAACCGCCATAAAGTATGAATTTTGAATCTGTGTCGCGGTGTAATGCAGTAAAAAGTCGTATAAATACGTGGGGATAATTCTGTGGGCATCATTCCTTGTTTCGTTTTTGTAAGCTCCCAACTTGCACCTGGTTTTCGAACAAAATGAAGTACATCGTAAGTTTTAATATTAACAACATTCGTTGCTATTATTTTTTTTTCTGTTTTTTAAGTTCGAGTACCAATTTGAATATCATTAACCTAATGTATATTATTTCAGTACCTTTTAGTTGTTATAATAGTGGTTACGGCTGCAGATATAAGCAGTTTGCAGCCGTTTCTATATCATCAACATCCCCAACTACAAGACCAGCATCAACAACAAGTGTACACAACAGAACCCATTCCCATTATCAGACAGGAACAGATCATCAATCCTGATGGATCCTACAAATGGAAGTTAGTATAATGTTTTTCTTAAGTTTAAGGTATAATCATTGGCAACGTTGTTATATCTATATCTAGACTAATTTATACTAGTATGTAGGTAAGAAGTAAGGACACTTTACTTTCTTAGATTTACGCGAATATTTGACATTTCATATAAACTATCTTTTCGGATTTTTTCGCGGATTTATTTTGATTTTTGGTTCCCGACGTTTCGAATGCTTTACAGCATTCATGGTCACGGGAGAGACTCAAGTCTCTTTTTTTATTATTTAAGGACAGTTTATCTGATTTTTTGGTTCATTAAACGATTTGTAACTACCAGCCCAATTTGAAAATTTCTTTTGAGGAAGGAAATAAACCGAGCAAGGTACAGAAATAATAAACATGTGGAGTATCACCATTATTTTTGGGAAATTTGATTATTGCTGTGTGCTAGCGGTTTATAAAATACACCTACCATGTAAATATTAGCAATATAGTACATTAGCGACTTACTCTCGCTTTATCCGGTTACGTCCCCATACAGCGCACGCCGATAATTTAATTCAACGACTAGTTTTAATTAAACATTAATTTAAGTTATTATGATTTCTGTATGTAAACACATTTGTATTGGAGTAAAATATAGCTCATATCACTCCTTTAACCTTACCAGTGAATTCATTTTAAGAACCAGATTAGTAGTGCCTGAGATTACCTAGATTCAAACTTTTAAATTGTACGTCTTTTTATTATTAGTGTAGGTAGAGTTAATAGTCTTCAAAGAAAATATCTGTGGCATAAAGACGAACAAACGGACATGAAAAATTTTCGTAATTGTCATTGTCATTTGGCTATGAACCCAAATACGCATATTTTTCACGCGCATATTTTTAAATGATTAGATGTTTTCATCTATCATTGGCCATGATAAAGCAATATCGTATTAATTATAATCTCTATAATTTGTTGACATGTCCACGTCAAGGTAACTTTGATATGTTATAATATTAATCCCTCCACGACCGCGGACACGCCGGCGTGTCAGTTAACAATAGATTTCTGAGAAATTAAATAATTTATTAGAAATTTACCTGGAGGTGTTAAATGATTAATTTTTGAATATATATAAAATTTTGTTAGTCTTGGAAACGGCTCTAACGATTTGGATCGTATATTGTTTTCTGGCATTAAAAATAAAAGTCAGTATTTTGCTTGCATGATATTTTGAGTGAGTTATTATTAAAGTGTAGTTCATATTAAATTGTAGATTTCATATTTCTTAGAAATCTTAGGTGTCGGATAAAAAACAAACCTGGGATAATATTTGATTGTTACTTTGTTCTTTTACATTTTGTAATATTTATATCAGTTTTTGAAATTTGAGTGACAAAGCAAATACTGCTATCCTTCGCTTCAGAAAAATTGCAGCTAATGAATATATTGTCATTACAATACAATGAACTAACTTCATTACTATTTAAAAATGATTTTTTTTTGCTCATATTTATTTTATTTTATTTATTTAGGTACAGAAACAGAAAATACATAAAAAAATTACATCTTCGTTATAAAAACTAAAAATATCATATTAAATTTGTTGTTGGACAACATATATCTGTACACAACATTAAAATATAAACATATAATAATTATATAAACAAACTTAACCAGAAGGTGAATATTACAGTATAAGTCTGTGCATTTAAAGTAACGAGTACATAATAAATATTCAAAATTTGTATAAATGAAATACGATTATAATTATTCACTAATGATAGGCAAGGTCGATTTTTTTTTAAATAAATATTTTGTCTGTATCAGTTATGAAACCGGTAATGGAATCAGCGCTGAGGAGGCGGGCTTTGTCAAAAATTTGGGTATTCCTGAACAAGAATCTCAGGCTGCTCAAGGACAGTATAAATACACTGCACCTGATGGCCAGGTAAGATTTAAGATTAAACAGATCTTCAATCAAATTTTAAAGGATACACTTAAACGCCTGGGTAAAAAATAAGGTTATATTTTCTGCTGTATTGGTGTACGATAAGTTGCAGGCGCCCTATTGTAAAAATTATCATTTTTATTAGTTATTACTTGTTTATTTATTTTCCTTGTTTTCCTCTCATTTTTTGTTAAGAGTAAATATTAACAGCTATGTATGATATTCTACTAATAAGAGTTAATTAAAATTTACTAATTTACAGGTTATCCAGCTACAGTATGTAGCAGACGAAAACGGGTTTCAACCACAAGGAGCTCATTTACCTACATCGCCACCAATTCCTGCGGAGATCCAGAAAGCATTGGACCATCTAGCTACCCTTCCTCCTCAAGCACCACAATCGAATCAATAAAAGTATTATAAATCAAATCACTGATACATACACAATTTATTATGACCATAAGAGGCTCAGGATACTTAGGTTACTTGATTGTGATATGAAAACAAAAAAAATATTAAATCTTAATATAAGTGTGGATAATTTATTTTATACTGTTTAGCTTTTAAAATGATGTCTAATAAATAATTTGATGTCACATATGTTTTTTTAACTTAACCCACTTTTAAATATAAAATTATATTTTCGATTTTTTTCTCGGATTTATTTTGATTTTTGGTTCCCGACGTTTCGAATGATTTCCAGCAATCGTTGTTGCGGTAAACCGTTAAAACCTTTATTAACCTCTCTCTGTCTCTAAAGCATTCGAAACGTCGAGAACCAAAAATCTTTATAAATCCGCGAAAAAATTCGAAAAGATAGTTTTGTTTTAAAATATCAAATATTCGCGTAAATCGAAAAACGTTTTATGTTTAACCCACTTATCATTCATTATGCAAATGAAGATAAATTTAATTGGCACAGTATTATAATATGACACAGTAAATAAATAAATAATAAATAAATTAACAATTAAGAGGAAAAGTGCTATACACGAACAGGCATACAAGTAACGCGAGAATCTCACGACGACCTCACTTGCCCAACGAGTCGCCAGTTCACTTTCTCTGCACGTGTCAAGGTCGTGAGCCATCGCCATAAACTTCATATAATCACAGCTTCTTAATCATATGTTGTAAAATTTTGAACGGTTTTCAAACTGTCGAATAACATAAATCAATTTTGAGTGTCTGTTATGCTAACAATGTTTTTATTTTTATTATATGAATATAAAACATAGAATTGACTATTCATATTTGATTCACTCGATTACTTATTGTTATTTTTTTTTCAATGAATAATTTTATCATAGAAATAACATTATATTATAATGCCATGTAACACGTTCACGCTCACGTGCTGCACCTGAGGTTGTTGCAAATAACATGTACTTTTATGTAAAATCAATTTAAAAATATATATAAATATAGTAATAAAAAAGAAACGCCAGAGCTTTCTGTATATCTATTTATATACTAGCATTGCCCGCGGCTCCGTCCGCGTTCAGATGACCAAAAACCAAGTTCTTAGGTTTTACATATTAGTATACTCTTACATTGCAATTTTTGTATTTTTTTCTCAAAAATGAGATATTTTCCCGAGGTAAAAAGTATCCTAATTGTTGACCCGGATAACCAACTATCACCATATCAAATTTCATCAAAATCCCTCCAGTGGTTTTTCTGTGATGTGATAATAGACAGACAGACAGACAAACAAAAATTCTAAAATCTATAGATTTGGCCTCTATCGATAATAATGTTTATTTCAATAAGATTTTCTAAAAAAATATCTAATGTACAGATTCGGCTTAGTTACAATTTTATTATATGTATAGATTATGTGCAAAATATACGTGTCATCACTTTATATGTAGTATGTGTACAAAGCACATGTTCCATAACTGAGTGACACACATCACTTCCAATAAATCGATGCTAATGCAACCGAAAATTCGCCTGAAGTCATCCTATTGATGATGCTGCCTATAATGTATTGCCATTTACATAACCAATATGAGAGAAATCCATGTTGTCTGAATATCTATTCATACAAATGATTATGATATTACATAATATTGCAAGTATCGATACATATGCATGTACTGGTTGGTGTCTAGAATAAAAAGTGTCGCAATGTTACCTAAATTTGGTTACAATAAGACTTCCAAATTATGGTCTTCTGTGGTACTCATAATAAATCTTATTAGATCAGATAATCATATTATACTATGTTGTTCTGATTACAAGATTATGCATGTAACCATTGAAAAGTCATCAGAATACACACTTCTAAATGAAAAATACTATTTTACTAAAATGTAAAAAATAATTGATTTATTTTCGGTGCAAAATTGCAAAATATCTGAGAAATAACGTGTATGTTTAATAAAAAGTGTATTGCAAATATTACACAATATTGCAAATAAATATTGTATTAAATAAATTTATGTATTTTTTAACATCTTGTTAGACTTTTAAATAAAACGTTGAGAATTAAAAAAATCCAATAACACAATGAATAAATTCGGTCTGAATCTAAGTTTTGAAATACTAAAAATAATAACAGAACTATTACAACCTTACTTATGTTATACTAGCGACTACTTACGTTCGACGTTTAGTAAAGATTTCTCAGAAATGAGACATTTTCCCGACGTAAAAAGTATGCTATATGTTGACCCGGAATATCAGCTATCATGATACCAAATTTCATCAAAATCCCTCCAATAGTTTTTTTTGATGCGGTAATAGACAGACAGACAGACAAGAATCCCTAAAACTATAGATTCGGCCTCTGTATCGATAATAATGTTTATTTCAGTAAGATTTTCCCAAAAATATCTAATGTACAGATTCAGCTTAGTTACAAATTTATTATATGTATAGATAGATGATAAGGTACTATTGAAACTTTTCATGAATTAATTGACTTTATCTATGTAGTCATTTTTAGGGTTCCATACTCAGAGGGTAAAACGGGACTCTATTACTAAGACTCCGCTTTCCGTCCGTCTGTCTGTCTTTCCGTCTCTCACCAGGCTGAATCTCATGAACCGTGATAGTTAGACAGTTGAATTTTTTACAGATTATGCATCTCTATTGCCGCTATAACAACAATTACTAAAAATAGAATAAAATAAATATTTAATAGGGCTCCCATACAACAAACGTGATTTTTTGCTCGTTTTTGATCGATACTGATAACGGCAACAGGTAGATGCTTGAAATATTCACAGAATATTTAGTTATGTATTCACTTTAGAAATAAATAATTAAATTAAAACAAATATTTAAGGGGGCTTACAACAAACGTGATTTTTATAGATAATGGTACGGAACCCTTCGTGCGCGAGTCCGAATCGCACTTAGCCGGTTTTTTGATTCGACAATCAATTGTTTTTATTAATAGTACTTTAATGTTTACCTTCGTAGCTAATAAATTTATAATACGTTGAATTAGACGTAACTTTAGCACAGCAGTTCCCATTTTTTTTGGCCACGGAACCGTAACTGATCATATTTTTTTAACGTATCCCCATTTACCATTTATAATACCTAACTAAACCGAGTGTGTTGTTTCTTGTTTAGAAAGAACAAATCTTTAATGAAAAATAATAATACCTACTTATAATAATTTTTATTGTACCAACAATATAACCAAATTTTTAATGTGATGAATGATTTTTTTACATTTTTCTCTAAAATTATATTTCATGTCTGACACAGTATTATTTAACTCTCGGATGGAACTCGGAACACCTGTGACCCTACCCTAGGGTTCCGCGGACCACCATTTGGGAACCGCTGCTCTAGTATAATCATATTTCTAACCAAACCGCTACAAGCTTCTTCTATTATTATGGTATGGTATGGTATGTTCGGGCTATTTTCCGCAACTCGACGACTATGCGCCTTTTTGCGTGTGTAAATTGATTTTATTATTATTCATTTCTATTATTATACTTTAATATAAAAAAGGCTAATCTCTTCATAAGGAAACATTTTGTTAATTATATTCTTTATTGCACAAATAAGTTATAAGAAAACAAAATACATAGAGAGTGCACGTCACTCAAACAACAACACAAAGGTGGACTTATCTCTATAAGAGATTTCGTTCAGTCAACCCATGCATGTGGGAAATAGTGTTAAATAGCGGGTAAATACCTATAGTTAAAGTAATAGTCTGAATAAAAAACTTAGGTAAATGTTGTTTTAATCTATTTAGCAGATGCAAAAATACAGCTTGAGATTTATTGTTCCTATACAAAGCAGCGGCCACGTTAAGCTCACGATGATTGAGTACTCAATCTGGAGTTCACTTTAGTTATGTATGACTTTTGAATTTTGATATAAAATAATTAAATTATTAAAACAAAAAACCTGACTGCGTAAAAAATGATCTAAGACGTGACTAGAAGATGTGGCTAAGCTGACAAACGTGTATGTATATCTCCGTCTGTATAATACTGTGTTTCTTTGACAACTTGTTATTATCTCTTTGGTTCATTTTTTACGAAGTCGGGTTTTTTATTTAATTTTTTTTTGTACAACTTTTTAGCTATGGCCAGTATTTGTAGTCTGTAAATTTTATTTAACAGTTTTTTATTCTAAATAACTTTTAAACTTATAAGATGTAAACATATTTTTGTGATCACCTCTTACCTTCATCTTGATAGGTATGATACTCGATAGGCTTGGAAGATTTTTTTTAAAGACACAAATTGGCACCTAAGATCCGCCATTTTGATTTTTAATAATATTTATATAGCCTATAACACTCGCGTTATCAAGATGACTAACGACGTTTGAATCTTCAAAATCGCTTAAGCTGTTTAGTACATACATACATACATATTCCTTTTGCTTAAGAAAATGAGTTGTGTTTAATTTCGTGTACCAAGGTTGACTAAATCTAAGCTATCTAAACTGAAGTGGTCATAATCACGTTTTACGCAAATCGTCTTTAAATTAGCGCAACATAATGTGTATGCTGAGACTGATGAAATTCTATGATGTTGAACGAAAGGTAAAACTGTGTAACGACCGTAGTCCGCACTAATGAATTGTATGATCAAAATAATTTGACTCCAGCGATGTAAACATTCGCCGGCGCTAAGGTCACTACTGAACAAATGAAAATCCGTAGCTTTGTTGACAGCTGTTACATCGACAACAAGTTGACATATACGCTTCGAGGTAAAGCATGTACTGTTTACTTATTTCATAGATTTTACGACAGCGCTAAAGAATTGCGACACAAGGAATGCAGGGAGGTGGTCACTTAGAGGCTACTATAAATACTTAAATTATCAGGATATGATATTATCAGTCAATAACAGTATCTTCACTCGATACTTTAACAAGTGAATATACAAAAATGAAATCATTTGTAAGTGTTATTTGTGGTCGTGCCTTTCTAATAATAACTATAGTGATAGTGAACGTTTTAATAACAATGTGCCCATTTTACTGTCAAAATTGATGTTTTCAAAACAATGATCACAATTAATACGTTTTGTTTATATTTTAGGTATTGATAGTACTTTTCGCTGCAGTGGCGTTTGCTGCTCCTCAAGGATCAACAGAACCCATACCCATTCTTCGTCAGGATAGTCAGGTCAACGCTGACGGATCATACCAATATGCCTTCGAAACTGGAAACGGTATTAGTGCTGATGAGAAAGGGGACTTGAAGAAGGTCGGAGATGTTGATGCTTTGGAAGTAAGCGGTCAATTCCAGTATCCAAGTGAAGATGGATCGAACATTCAACTGACTTACATTGCTAACGAAAACGGATTCCAACCCCAAGGAGCTCATTTGCCAACCGCTCCTCCAGTACCAGAGGCGATCCAACGCGCTCTTGCCTACTTAGCCACTGCTCCACCACAACAGAATGCATAATAAATTGATTGATACTATCAGTAATGAGTTCTAATGCTAAGTGTACAAATTAGTACAATATTATATAACAGTCATTAACTATTATTTTATATTTTTTATACACCAAATATATTACTGATTTTAGATATTCACTGATTTTATTTATAGAAATAAGTTATTTACCATAGCATGTATTATATTCATTGTGTTAAAAATTCGATCAATTTGTTCCAAAATGTAAATATGCAGTAACACTCAATGAAATTCATAACAATCCTGAGTCCTAACGCTATCTAAACGTCATAGTGGTACTACATATATGTACCTACAACATTATATATACACTAACGACTCACCCTCGCTCCGCTCGGGTTCCTCCCTACTTGCGTTTTAACGTTTAGTATATATTTTTTAGAGATGAGATATTTTCCCTCAGTAACCATCATATTGTACCATCATACCAAATTGCATCAAAATCCCTCCAGTGGTTTTTCCGTGATGCGGTAACAGACAGACAGATAGAGATAAATTCTAAAAATCATAAATTCGGCCTCTGTATCGATAATAATGTCTATTTCAATAAGATTTTCCAAAAAAATTTAATGTACAGATTCGACTCAAAATTTTATTATATGTACCTATAGGTTTTAAGGTAATTCATTGTCATAACTATTTTTGCTCTATAACCTATTTATTTAGTAACATGGATAGCGGTTTAGGACATAAGTATGTGTTTAAGCAATAAATAAAAAAATGTCATTAAAAAAAAACATAGGATTTAGTCATTCATAAATATTTTATAACTTATTCGTTGTCGTCAGGGTTTCAATGTTGAACCTCGTCTATTTGTGTAACTGGTATTACAACTATAATATCAATAATAAATAGTTTCCGATATTAAAATATATGGTATACCGTCACTACGGCCATTCTATAAGTTTTCTGTATGAATACTACGAACACTCATGTAAAGCAGGCAGGAACATAATATAATTGTTATTATGATGAAACATATATATATATATATATATCAAAAACGGTATAGAAATATACACTATATACTATGTATATAGGTATGATGACTTATTGTGGGTTGTATTAAAATGTGTTTTCCATTGGGAATGAGATAACCTTCCGCGGTAAAAAGTAGCCTACGTCACTCTCCAGCCCTCCAACTTTCCACACAACAAATCACGCCAATCCGTCACTCTGTTTCGACGTGAAAGACAAACAAACAAACACACTTTCACATTTATAATGGATTGGGGTGGATATGGATTGGTCATCATTATATTAGGTAGTAATTAATTTGTAGCTTAGGTAGAGCCAGCTTTGAGGTAGATAGAGGCTTTAAAGAAAATAAATTCTTTAGAAATGCTTTCCTCTACTGAAGCTTTATTCATAATTTTTTAAATATCTTCATAAATTCAATTTAGTTGCTTCGATTTAATTATCATTGTTAAACTTGGATTAATATATAATCGTGGATTAATAGAATTTTATAACATGTGTTGTAGGTATATAGCAAAAATATTTTGCACGATATTATTTAGCTGTTAATATTATTGTACATCCTACAATATATCAGTTTATTGGTTTAGTACCCACTTTTAGTAAGAAATTAACGCTTTAATGTCGCTCATTTGTTATATAAATCTAAATAAAAGTAGGCAAAGACAAAACAGTTCCGCATCTTTTTCTCCTCTGTTCCTCAACTGATTTATCTTTTTTTTATTGTTTAGTAGCCATTGACGAGATTAGTGTTATCGATAAAAAAATTTGGAGACAGTTTTTTTAATACCTATCTAGGTAAATTCTATTCAAAATACCTATATTTAACTCAAATTTTTAATAGTAATTATGGTAGAATTTCGACTAATAGGCGAAGAATAAATATGTATGTAAAATGCTTTAGGAACGTCGATATTTGACCTTTATCTAAAACTAGCTAATTATTATAAAACATCTACTAAATATTAATAAAAAAGATAGTAAAAACGCCTTGTTTAACGATGTTGCATATATTTATTTTAGAAAAAATACATACATTAAATATATGCGTGTGAAAACTACTAAGTTGATTTTAAAGCAGATCTATATATTACCTTAAGTTATATAGAATAATACTATGTCTTATTCCTCAAGCTTTTGTTTTTTTTTTCAATAAATTTTATTTAAAAAACCAAAACTTTACATAAGCGTAAAAATTTGAAGATGACGCTTGGTGATCATAACCTGCGAAACTACGTAATTCAAAATTTAAATAATAAAAACCAGACAGATATTACCATGACCTCGTCTCGATCGAGCCCTTAACCCATAATCAACATATCAATGTACATACACACGGTGTAAGACTTCTTCAAATAAGACTGTGACGTGTATTTTAAATAAAGTAGCTCAATAAATAAAATATAATGTTATCATGAAATATGGTCGAGTATTGACTCGATTTTACGTTAATTTAAGATAGTTTTTTCTTTTAGTTTTACCTGCAATATATCTTGGGTTAAAATCATTTACAAACAAAGGAAAATTATTTCTGGTATTAAAAAAAATTAAATCAACACTAAACTCGTAAAACAACGTTGATATCAACTTTTTATTATAGAAATAATAAAAGCTCTTTTGGAATGCTTCTGTCTTACCAAAGAAGGCCGCAGCTTCGTTAAAGTTGATTTCGAGAATCGAGATATTTGAAGTTTTGCCTTAGTACTTAGTAGTAGTTTTGACGTAGTTACGATGAAAATGGTTATGGTATCTCCGGATTCATAAGATTTAGAGCTTTATAAGTAATATTACCAAGTAGAATTTTTTGCTGATTCCGAATCTGCACTTAAGTCATTTTTGACCAAATAGTTTATTTTGAACTTCTTTATTATGCCGGCAGCTATTCTGCTAATATATGCTGATAATGCTTTTAATATATAGAAAACATAGCTTGGGCTTATTACTTAAATTCAAGCCACGTTTAAGCTACACTTTCCTTCTGAGAAACGGCAGATTCTAATACTAAATAATAAAATATATTTAATGAATAAGAAATAAAATTTGAAATGGCGTATTGATGAAATCTTAAAAAAAGCAGTAAAAAGATTAAAATTAGAATTAGTAATTGAATTTTATGTTAGAAATATGTAAATTTGATTTCGTGTAAATTTGCTTTATAATACGTGTTTCTATTATGTATATGTATTCTATAATATTAATAATATCTACTATTCAAATAAAATATATTATAATATAAGATAATTCAGTGAATAAATATAATTTTAAAAGAATTCATCCGAATAGGCAATTTAGCTAAAGGTCAAATATAATAATAAGTGTAGGTAACACTTATGTTAACTGTTATATACGTATTTTTGAAGTGTGTTTATTCGTAACTACCTGTAGTTTAAGAATTTTAGTTAAGTATTTATATTTATACACATCATTATGAACACTAATGTACTAGATGTTTGACGCAGTATATGATATTCTCTTTTCTTATTAATTAAATTCGAAAGAGTGAGAAACCAATTTTAATGAATGAGTATCTAAATATACTTATATGTATTATATTCATTGAAATTAGTAAAAAGTAAAAATTATAATTTGAGGGATGCTTGGTTACAAACGTTCCATTACATATGTAACGTGTAATACAATATTTCGACTATTTCACAGTGGAAACGAAGTGAATCCCATAACGGTATACCGTAGCTTAACCTTATGGTTTTAATACTCGTATTATTTTCATTACATTTAAATAAGGAAATTTCCATCAAAATGAGACAAGCAACTTTGCCTAGTATGTTATTTTTCAGTAGTGTCCTATGATTAGTTATTTCTATAATCATTCTAATTCCCTATAGTATATATCTACCCTATTATATACCCTATAGTTAACTTGGTAGTTAGTATTTTAGTTGATGTTTGAAGTTTGTTGACAGTTGAAGAGTTGTGTATATTTGTCATAATCAATTGACCTTTCTTGAATCATTTCAATGCGATTACCTTGAAATTAAGAGAAGAATTTTACATTGAGCATTAATCATTACAGTATAATATATATGTTGCACAGATAATTATATTTTAATAAAAGATTTAGCACGAGTGTTTTTTTTGTAAAATTATATTTTAAGTGCTTATCTTTTACTTTTTTGCTACAGGTAGTGCCACCTTTTGGCAAAGTTTATAACTAACAGAAGTCATATGTTACTCCATAATTGTTTGATTAAATAATAATATGCCCAACTGGCACTCCTAGAAGCCACGAAATAAAAGAATTGAATTGAATAGTAATATGTATAAAATAAAGCCTTGATTAGGTCAACGGTTTTAGATTTAAAAAGGTTTGAATTGGCGATATATGATATATATCATGCTAGATACGCAAAAATGATGAAAAGCAGCCTATAGGTACATATTTGCGTAATTCAGGAAGCAAGCTATGTCTTTTCCAAACTTCACTTAAGCCGATTGATCTGTTACGGCGTAATCCCTGATTAGCAATTATGCACACTCACAAACTTAGTTTAAAATATATTTTTATTAATAAGAGTATTTATTTTACCCCATAGAAATTAATTATTCAGTGTATTGTCAATACAACTATTAAATTAAAAAAAATATAAGCGTGCACAAAACCAAACAAATTCCTAATATTTTCGCCATATCTATATTTTTGTAATACATACGATTATGCACATATTATGTTAATTACAAATGTAGGTACACATTATGTCTTTAAATAGCTAATACGATCGTCATTACAGTATTATTACACGGATAGTACTTTATTATTGACCAATGAAATATTATTAAAACAGTATTGAACGTATAAAAACTGTTTGTTTGTATTTCTTTCTTAGGATCAGTTACGATGATAGCTTAAAACCTTGCAAAAGTTTAAGCAATATATATTTGGATTCGATCTGTGTAACCTTTAACGAAACGCCTAAATATAATTATCAACGCTATGTTAAACAAATTTTAAATAAAGAAAGAGCGATCTTTAAATTTTTGAATATATTATATACTAGCGACTCACTCTCGCTTCGCTCGGGTACGTCCGTAGATAATTCTTTAAATTAACATAACTTCTTTATTTCTGAACCGATTTAAATATAACAAATACTAAATATTAAATGAAGCTTATATATTACTGAATATATTAGTGAAAACCTCACACAAATCGGTGAACCACTTTCTGAGGTTAGCGCGAACAAACGCACAGGTAAACAGACAAAAATTCTAAAAATCATTGTTTTCGGTTCTAGTGCCATTATAAAGTACCCTTATAATGGTTTTTCTCAAATATCTTCCATGTACAGAAAGCGATTACAATTTCATTATAATACCATAAAAAAATTTTTATCCTTTAATCCTTTTTATTTTTTAATATAATAAAAAAACATGTTTTTATAAAAAATACAAAAAAAAAACGCGTGTGAAAAACTTATGTACGCACGTAAGAAATGTACTTCTTTGGCGCAATAATAGCTAAAGATTTCGTCCCGTAAGTCATAATTCTCTGCTTGTAAAAGGATTGATATATTAATAAACATATTTTTTTATCTTTACTCATATAAAACACGTGCTATAGATTTATGAATATTTGAGAAACTACTTTGAATATAGTTATGAGTTTTCACGGGGACCGGAGAGACAGTTATCAGCTAATTTCATCATGTCGCTTTTTGGCAGTCGGTGAGCGCGCGCATCGTAAAATTTTAATAACTTCACAAACTATAGTATATGGTACAGTTTTTTTTAAATATGCACACCATATGGTTTCTGTAAGAGTTTCTTATTAGTACGATTGAGCAAAAAATACCGCTTATAAACATTTCTGCCAATGATACCAATCCATTGAAATGATATCTCTTTGTCTCTTTATTTCTGTTAATTTCCGAAACAGCTGAATTCATGCTTACGAGGTTTTTACTCACTTACCATTATCCTTTTTAACCTCCGATGCAAAAAGAGGGGAGTCAATAGTTTAATTTGTGTATCTGTGAGTCTGTATATCCGTCTGTGACATCGTAACACCCATATAGATAAACCGATTTTAATTATTATTTTTTTCGTTTAAAAGGTGACTTGATCGAGAGTGTTCTTAGCTATAAATCAAGAAAATCTATTTAGCCGTTTGCAGAGTATAAGCTCTTTTGTAGACGATAAAAGGATATGAACAACTACCACAGATCTAATCGATTTAAAACTTTGTATCCCTTTACTTAAGTTAAGTTTGCAATGATATGGAAACCGAGGCCTGATGATGCATCTTCACCTAGAATCTGCAACATAAAACTCTTTAATAAAATACTGCAGTGATATCGTATTTAGGCTCATTGAAATTATCTCAATTAATGTTTTTTTTTTCTAAATTAAGATTATTAATATTATTTATTTTTAAAAAGATTAAAAGATTTCTTCAGGATAGAGGATATAGAAAGTAAAATCAACCAATTTTAAGGGGACTTTCACTGGAGACCGAACACTACATGTTAGGGTTAGTATGACATAAGTTATTTTGTTCTGTTATAATAATGTGCGAAATTTTATACGATAGTTTGTTTGTAATATGAATGATTGGTATGATTAGACATCTATTAAACGTTTCTATTATATTTAAAACAGGGAATGTAAAGAGAAAATTAAAATATCTTTATATAATTGTTTAAGTTTCATTTTAATCTGCATACAAGTTTTCTTTAACGAGAGAAACTGAACCTAATATTTTAATATTAACAGAATTATACAACTAGAATTGAACAAAATTAAAAACCGTATTAAATTGATGTGTACCGAAATAAATTAAGCGCAAGAATAGGTAAGCTCTCACATAATATTGTCGAATTATTTTGACGCAGTATGTGTTGCAATGCAAACCAGCGGTGGAGGCGGTGACTGGTATATATACCGATAACACTCTTAGATCAACATTGTCTATTGCATTCACCAATTTAAAATCAACATGAAAACCTTTGTAAGTGTCAGTGTTGTGGTTCAAAAAGCTAGTGATATATAATCATTTATATTTACAATTTAATAATATTTTTTTAAGAAGAAAAAAATATGTCTAAGCAATACGTAACAATATCTATTTATCCCTTATTCGATTACAAGTACAGTTAGAGATACAGCAAGTGCAAGTGGGATAAATAAAGCAAAAAATGCTTTATTTTTGGTAACTCGTAATAAATTTTTATTTCTATTTCAGATCATCCTTGCCCTCGTGGCGGCTGTTTTTGCCGCTCCTCAAGCACCCACAGAACCAATCCCAATTTTACGTCAAGATAGCGAAATCAATCCTGATGGTTCTTTCCAATACTCATTTGAGACTGGTAATGGTATCGTGGCTGACGCTAATGGGGCAGTTAGAAACATTGGCGCTGAAGAATCCGCTCTTGAAGTTCAGGGGCAGTTCAGTTATCTCAGTGAAAAGGGTGACCCAATACAGCTGACCTATTTGGCTAATGAAAATGGATACCAACCACAAGGAAAGCATCTGCCGACCTCTCCTCCCATCCCCGCTGACATTCAACGCGCTTTGGACTACCTCGCCACTGCTGCACCCCAACCTCAACGTTAAGATCAAAAGAGTTATATAAGAAGCCAACCATCACACTTAGTGAAAATAGCTACCTATAAATATTACTCTATCATGGGGCTATTTTGTTCAGGACTACCATATATATCAGTTTATTTTGTTAAAGAGGCTAAATATAAAATTAGTAGATTAGTAAATGAACTTTATATACTATGTGATCTGTGCTTATATGAATGTACGTATATAATAGCTTGTTAGTCATAAACGTGGTTTTAAGGATATTAAAGAAATTTTAACTGATGTGTGGTAGTTAAAAGAGTGATTTAGAGATGAACAGTTGACATCAAATTTGTATTTTTGTACATACAATTTTATACATAATTTAAATAGTTTTATATAAAATTTGAAGTTTTATTATCAACGACCACCATACACCATCAACCAAAAAAAAATATTTAAGATTCCATTACAGAAAAATATAATGTTGTTACAATACAAACATAAAATACAAAAATTTTATTAATAAATACTGATTTTTTTTAAATTACAGTACCTAATAGACCAATTTCTTATTATAATTACTCGTATTTAATAGATTAAACACTTCTACTCACTCCATCTATCGACAAAATGCCAGTAATAGAAGGATATTTAAAATATTAATTCTAGTATAGTATTATATGATCTGTGTTCATAGTAAATCTAAATATAAATTCCCTTTTGGCATTGACTTCATTACAAATATTATACATCTTATTTTTTATATACTTCGTTAGATGGCGCTATCTTTAGAATTTGCAACGTGCACAAAAATATTATGCAAGCCAGCAATATTAATTAATATGCTTGTAAATTGGATGTATGTTGAAACTAATACGTGAAGTCTCTTATGTTGCACGTCGCTATCTCTGAAATAAAGTGTATTAATAATAAATAATTTTAAACATATAAAATTTGAAAATTTAATAATGAAAGATATAATATTTGAGAAATATTTTAAGAGAAAAAAATTTACAAGTCCATGAAATAGTTTACTCACAGATCATATAATATTAGGTTTACTTGTGCCCGAAAGTTTTATGCTTATACTATGTTCAACAGTAACATACTAACATCGGAACTTCCTAACAGTTTAAAAAGCTTGCATACATATTTATAAAAATTTAAAAGGACTATATGGAATGAAATACAATAAAAAATTAGTCCTAATTTATTTTAGTTATCTTCGTCTTATGAAAATAAATTATCTAAAAATTGCACACAAAGAGCATGCACAATAGGACTTCGTTCAATATTCTATTGGTCTTTCAGATCAGACAATTATTCTGATCACGATAAAAATTAACGCTATTGCCCTTTACGATGTTGATATTCCAACTCAACAAAACTCAAGAAACTTATACAACTCCTCTATGATCATCTTTTTTGGTTAATTCGGTTTCTTCTATCATCTTTTAGTTTCAAAATTTTATCGAATTTTCCATCGTTCAAATTTGATACTCGTAACAACATGTGCTTGTGCATTTATTTATAGTGTATTAGTTTACTTAAAATAATAATACCCTATATATATATATATATATATATATATATATATATACTAGCGGACCCGACAGACGTTGTCCTGTCTACACGTCTTTAATTTGAAAATTTCAAACTTTTTTTAATAATTTTTTTGATGAAAATTATTATTCAAATTGTGAATCTAAACCATTCCCAGATCCCCTTGAACACACACAAAAAAAAAATTTCATCAAAATCGGTCCAGTCGTTTGAGAGAAGTTCAGTGACATACACACTCACAGAAGAATTATATATATATATATATATATATATATATATATATATATATATATATTTATTACAAAATAGTGTTTGTGACTTGTATACTAACATTTATATGACGAATATCTAGAAAACATTAAATTCTAGAAAAAAAAATAGAATGTATTTCGAATTGCTTTGAGATACAGAACTTTCACAACTGCTGTTTATATATCTACATAGTCAATATCGTGAGAAAATCGGCATTATGTAATTTTTGAGATCCTTCTGTGCCATATTACCAGTAACAAAGAGTTGAAGACCGTCCGTCTTAAAAACCCGTACATTTCAAAGACTTTTGATTTGCGTTTTATGACTGCAGATCGTCTGTGCGACCCCACTGACCCCTCGGGGAGTGGTAATAATAGCCGTTGACATTTAAGCAAACAAAACTAGTTTTAGAGGCCGATGGGTGCGGACTTCTTCAGTGTATGGGAGGCTTTATAAAATAGATTCGGTGATTTATATCTGGTAGCTCCAATAAAGGTCAACGAGGATAGTTTTAATGTTAATGTTAATTACATACATTTAGTTAATTCATTCATACTTTATTATATTATTTGTATAACATTAAGAAAAATTTGCTTTATTTGCTTTAGCATCTTTAGATTTTTTAGGTAGGTAGCTAATACCTATCTTGAAAAAATAAATGTACATCGATTTTAAAAATGTCATAAAAATAAAATATACGCGAGTTAAGGCTCTTATCGAATAGATACTTTTATGAGATGATATATATTTATATGAATAGATGTTTTTTTTATAAGACATTGGAGATATTTTGTTAGGACAAAAGGTAGGTATATGTATATCGAAAATACTCAAATGGAAGAGAAGTCGTGCTAAAAGCTATTCTTTAATTTATTCTTATATAAGGTACTGTAGATAAAACAATACTTGCGGTGTTCAGAAGAACCAGAAGGTCTGGAGGATGTTTGCATTTTAGCGGAACTTTGTAAAAAATAACAATAAGACTTTTTTATAAGAGAAAGATATTAATGTTACCAAAAACAGTTTACAGAGGGAATATTGTTTCATTATAACATTTATATTTACAACTAAATTGTATAACTAACCGAATTCAAGGACGGAAGAGGATTTTGCTAATAATGAATCAAAGTGAATAAGGTATACACACAAAGTGTTGCAATGTCGATTTTCGCTCGGGTTCGCCTCTAGGGAAAACAAAAACAAATCTATCCCACGGGACCGTATATTATTCTGGGATAAAAAGTAGGTTATGTGTTATTCTAGACTATAATCTATCTCTATGACAAATTTCATCCAGATCCGTTCAGCCGTTCTGACGTGACGTGAATTGATAGATGTAGATAGTTTAACAAATGTTCGACGTGATTCTTTAAATTGACATAACTTTTTTAATTATGAACCGGTTGACATGAAACAAACACTAAGTATTAAGTGAAACTTACCACAATATATTAGTGAAAATCACATCTAATTCGGATAAGCCGTTTCTGAGATTAGCGTGCACAAACGAACAGATAAACATACAAATAGACAAAAATTCTAACAATAATTGTTTTGGGTGCTATTTGCGTTGATAAAGGTCCCAATAAAAAAAAAATCATATATCTTCCATGTACTGACAGCGATCTGTTACATTTTTATTATATGTACTGTAACTGCCTCGGTGGTGTAGTGGCTAGCATGTACGGCTGCACACCGGAGGTCCTGGGTTCGAGTCCCGGGTCGGGCCAAGTTTAGTTATTAAGTCTTTCTGTATATTAAGTCTCAGTAACAGCCCGGAGTTGGGAAGTTGGCGGTGTTTCACCCCCGTGCCTCGGAGAGCACGTAAAGCCGTTGGTCCTGCGCCTTAAGTCTCACTGGTCGTGTCGAGTGGTCGTCCCACCAGAGTATGAGAGTAACAGGAATAGAGAGTGCACTTGTGTCTGCGCGTACACTTGTGCACTATAATATCTCCTGCGCAGTTGGCTAGTCTCAATGAGATTGGCCGCCGTGGTCGGAATCGGTCAGAAGAACATCATCATCATTATATGTATAGATTTTTAATGAGACAAAATTAACAATGTCCACACTTTCGGTTGATACTCGTATAACCACAGGTCGTATAATACTCGTACTATACATATACCTAAGTACTAGATACATGTGGGTGTGAATTATATTCCTTATTTTCAAATTAGTGACATTTTATCAATTAAATTAAATAATAAAAAATATATGATTAACTATGTCTATGCCCTAAAATTCAATACAGTAATCCTTCAATTTAACTTCGACCATTGGTATATTAAGTTTTAAAGGGGACGAATTGTTCTTTTTACACTTTTTATCAGGTTATCTTATCTTATCTATACCAATATTATAAAGAGGTAAAGTGAGTTTGTGACGTTGTAGGGGATAATCTCTGGATCTACTTAACCGATTTAGATGTAATTTGGTAAGAAGATAGTTTGAGACCCTGGGAAGGACATAGGATACTTTTTATCCCGGAAATCATCCCTTAAGGGGGTGAAATTGGGATGAAAGTTTGTATGGGGAATCAACCTAAGGACTAACCCGAGCGAAGCGAGGAAAAATCGCTAGTATGGTATATTCTAAACGCTTTTTTTCTACATTGCTGCGTATATGGAAGACATAACAAAAAAAAAGCATTTTTTACTAACATTTTTACTAGAAGTTAGGTTAGGTTATTGTAAGTAAATTTCAATCAATACACAAGATTGCATTCCACTACCATAAAAAGCGGGAATGTAAATTGGTAATGGATGAAATTACACACGAGTATTCACGATGGCAGAACCGTAACGAGTATCATTGACGTACCACTTTTTGTAAGACAAAAGTATTCTTTCTTTTTAGGCATAATATACTTTTTAATATTAAGGTGCCATCATCTCAAAGATTTTTTTTTATCTTTGCAGGAGTAAAGTAAATATTGAGGTGCTTTTATCCAAAAAGTTGCTCTATCTATGTCACTGCCCGAATTGGATATGTGTTGGTCATATTTTATTTTTTATGTTATACTTCTTAGTGAGAGTTAGGTATACCAAAACAGTCTGCTAGGAGAGGTTTTTTAATTAAAAATAGCCTGGAGCAAATTTTTGGTGACGACTTCCCTGGGCCGTGTTTGTTGATATGTTTTATTGTGTAAAAAATATATTTCGCCACATAGATCAGGATCTGAGACTATCTGTTTTATTTTTTACGTAATGCACTATCGTTATCTC